CAGCCAATCACAGCACAGCCACAGTGTGAAACAGGATTGGCGTGGCCACGCCCACTCCTCCAGCACCCACATTCATCATTTCATCCAATTTCTGACAGAGATTTCCTCCCCAGCTTAGTGGTGGGGGAGCGGAGTATTATTTTAAATCTCCTTCAGAGATTTAAAAAAAAAAAAAAAAAAAAAACGAATCGTGTGTCTTTGTTCCACAGCAATTTGCATCTGAATAGACTCTGATTGAACTGTGACAGCTAAGAAGGTCAGGACACCTTGACAGGTCTTCGTGAGAGAATCAGAATGTCCCTGATGATTACACACTCGTTTGGGATTCACGCTCAGCCAGCGTGCACGGAAATGCGCCGAATGCTGCCTGGCTCATTCCCGCATTAAAGCCCCCCCCCCCCCTTTATTGTAACATGACATGATGTGTATCTGCCGCCCATATATGCTGGTTGTGGTGCAGGCTGCAGGTAGCGCATGGACAGGTGTTTAAAATGGATAAGCCTGATGTGGTGACCCAGTGACAGGTACAGGGACGGGTTTTAGTTTGGGTACCTGGGTTACAGGAATGGGACGATGGGGTCGACGCCGTGGAACTGGCAGACGTGACGGCAGAGACAGACAAAAGGGAGGGAAATGTGGTGAACTGGGTGCAATTACTCAGGTTGTGATGGTGATCACAGGCTCATCCTACGGCTGGGTATCGTTGGGGTTTTTTCCGATACTGGTGCAGAAACGCTACTTAAAACGGCGCTGGTGTCTACATGGTACCTGCACTGGTACTGGACAAAAAAATAACACAAAGCGAAGGTCTTTTATCTATCTATTGCAAATTTAATTTCAAATTGAATACATTAACTTGACACCTTAAATATATAAATATAAAATAAACTTGACACTCAATTGTTTTTAAGCATTTCCCCCCGTGTTCGAATCCTTTCGAATGAAATACAGTCACATTGTAGACCATTTAGATTCAGGAATTTTAACAGTGTTTTAGGTAGCTACTAGCTAATGATGCTAACATCAGAGCAAGTGTAATATTATCTCGCGAAGGAACGTGGGGTGCGGTGATTATTCCGTTGCCGGAGCACTAGAGGGCAAATATTTCGATCGACGGCTCAGGCATTTAAGTGGCGCCGAAATCTGCGTTGCGGTGTGATCCGGTAGGTACTGATCGTATAGGAACCAGGGCCATATTGGCACCGGGTTTGAGGACTCAGCCCTGCTCATCTCACAGATGAACTGCAGAGCCTTTAAGGGGCCGAAACCTCCGTCTCCTGGAAATACGCTTTAATGTGGAAATGAGCGTCCGGGACTCCCCAGCACCTGTGGGATCGGGGCAGCCAGCCAGCCGCCCTGGCGTCCGGCCCAGCATCACTCTGCATGGGCTTCCCTCACGACGCCATGGAAACGTCTGCCAGCCTTCCAGGGGCTGTAACCATCTCAATTAACACTGCATCTAGCTCACATTAGCTTATTAGCATAGGGGCACCCTGGGGAGTTTCAGCATGTGTGTTTGTGTAACACAAGCTGCTTGGATTTGAGGGTGAGCATATTGGCCTAATACACGAGTATATGTTCGATTATATGCTCAGATATATGCTCGGATATGTGCTCAGGTATATGCTAAGCCAGTGTTTCCCAATCCAGTCCTCGAAAACCCACTGCCGGTCCACGTTTTTGCTCCCTCCGAGCTCATTGTTAGTCCACATTTTTGCTTCCGGTAGGGAGCTAGGAGGGAGCAAAAATGTGGACTGAATCTGACTTTCCAAGGACCGGATTGGGAAGCACTGTGCTAGGGTAAATTCTGTGTGCACGACTGACTCTGCCGGTGTACGTGGCTCAGTCTATCGAGCCTCCATACACAGGAGAACTTTGACCTGGATAAGGGGAGCAGGAGTGATGTAGGGAGGTGCGAGGTGGGGGCTGGGAGTGACAGCTGACCTTGGGTCCACAGAGGTGCAACACTTCATCTTAAAGTCAGTCACTGCAGGGTAGATAAACAGCTAATATGACAGCCGGGGTAAACAGGTCTAAGGACAGCAGGGCAGGGGTAGATGGGCAGGTGGAGGAGGGGCAAGGACCCCCCCCCCCCAAACCTGGCCATATGATGACTAGAGAATGATGCACATTCTCAGGACGTCTCAGGGTTCAAACACCACCGATTACTCTCAGGATTTTAATTCCGCTTCAAGGTTTCTGTCCTCTAACTGCTCAAGTAAGAACTGCACAAACCACAGCTCGTCTTCCCATGATTACCAGGAATTCCTACTTGTGATGGGAGACGTGATGGGAGACTGAAAGCACGTTTATGGGAAGCAGGAGCTCATCACGCAAAGGAGTCGGCAGAGAAGCCAAACAGCAGCACGCGAGCCGTTCATCACAAACAGATAAGCATCTGAAATATTTAATCACCAGGGAACATTTGGAACAGTTATTTGCTGTAAGCATGGAAAAACTAATTAACTAAACATATCTTCCTGTCACATAATTACTTCTAATTGTACTGGTGTAATTAGCTAATTTGATGGCCATTCCTGAGGTGCAGAGATTGCTCCTACCATCCTAAAAGCACAGAGATGCAGAGGCAGGTTGAGTGATTATAAAAAAGAAGTTTGGGAAAAGGATGATGAACTCTAGCTTTAAATATGTGGGCAACTATTTGTCAGCATGGAGTTTTTATCTTAAAGGTCAGGAAAAGGAAAAATCTCAACCCCAGTTTCTGGGAAATAAATGACCCGTCGTCACATAATGACATCGGAAACGGGAACAGAGATAGAGAGACAGAGATGCTGCCAGTGTTATGGGTTTAATTTGGAACATAATAAAAGTGGCACTGAGGCCAAACACACTGCCACACTGTGTAATGGTGCCATACGCACTAATATAGTGTATCTTGGTTCAGGACCCCCGTTGCCCAGCAGCATGTGTTCCACCTCGGAGCATGATGGGTTCCATGCCCCCTCAGCCCCCCGCTGGTAAGGGGGACATGATTGGCTGAATTGCTAACAGGCCATCTGCCACAGTACTGCCATTAATTACACTGAATGAAGGTGTGTTGATGGGGAGCCCCTGGCAGGCGGGGGGACGGACAGCCCCTAGAGGCGGGGTTCCGCCCCTCTTTGTGTGCCTCAGGACCCCACCTGAGCAGGATGGCAGACCGATGTGAAATCTCGTGCTACCTCGCAGTTTACTGCATTGACCAGACACACAAGCAGATTATTTACACTGGACAATCTAGTTTGTCCTGGTGCGCAGTCTGATTCTCCTCCCCGTTCATTCCAGTGGGGACTTGGTCACATGACCAGCATGCCCCGAGTGTCACATGACCAGCAAACCTCGCCCAAGAGTGTCCATCTTTACTAAGTACTGCCGGCCCAGGCCCTGGTGTGAAGGCTGAGGGTAGCCCAGCCTGCGAACACCTCAAATTGGATCTGACTGTACTCAGGTATGTTTACGCTCTGCTTAATATGTGATATAATCAGCCTGTCCAGAGGAATTAATATCACAGCAAGATATGGCCGTCATACTCAGCATGAGATGCATCCTACTGTGGTCAGTCAGGTTACTGAGAGCCAGCTGATCCCACTAATCAGTTACTTTAGGCTAACAAACACATCATCGGAGCAAGAAAACAAGACGGCGAGAGACAATCTGCTGTGATGCCTCTCGCCCTGAATCAGAGCCCCTGCCAGAAGAGGGTCGTTTGTAGTGACAGTCACAACAGCGCAGTACGAGTCTAAAGACAGCGAACAGAATGTGACTCTCAGCAGACTTTGGTCAAATGACATCAGATGGAGAAACTGAGCATCAGGTTGTTTGCTCGTCTCAGACATTGTGTCTCTCCCTATTGATTGGGGTGACCAGATAATCCATTTCATCCCGGACACCTTGAGCTACTTCGGGTTTTACAAACGACTTTCAAACTGAAAAGCTCCTGTGCTCGGCTAAATAGTTCAGCTCTTCTTGTGCTTTGGTTTGTTTCCTTGACTGAAAGACTCATCCAGCTGTTTCACATTAACATTAGTGACACGTGCATGATTACAGGAGACTGACCAATCAGCACACAGCAAGAACTCAGTGCTCAAGTGAAATCCAGGTCCTTTTAATTGAAACGGTAGGTTACAAATGCTGTCCTAGCTCAAGGTGTCCGGGATGACGTGGATTATCTGGTCACCCTACTGTTGATCAGCCGGTCACTCAGCTGCCTCTGATCACGGACAGAAACGGCGAGACAAGGCTCACTGTCTTCAGGGCTGGACTGGAAGGTCAGATCTCAAGATCAGTCAGGCTCCTCCTTTCAAGGCCAGTGGGTCATGAGGTTGCGGCCGCCCTGACGCTCTGCCCCTTGCGAGAAAAAGGTGAAAGGGGAATGGGGAAGCAGTGAAAACACCGGTCCTCTTTTCCATCCCAAAAATCAGGCCCCTGAAATGCATCCGGCAGCTTATGCTGCCAGTTTAATGTCTCGTTGCTGTGTTTTACATCATCTGTAGAGGATGATTAGGATAATGGTTCTGGGGATTGCTGTTTGCTAAAACCCACATTCTATGGACAAACACCAGCAAGCCTGATTCATCCAGGACATTTACAGGAATTACAGTAATCAGCAAACAAAAACAGATGCTCCACAATAACCCATCTGCAGAGTTCCATATTTCTTCATATAATTTACTCTGAATTTTGAATCTGAATCTGGTAATTATATCTGAAGAAATATGTATGTTTTTGTAATAAAACGTTTGCTGCTCTGTGGACAATGGACTGACGCTGGCAGTACAATAAATAATCTGTATTCTATATTACAGATACATACATTTAAATAAATTACCCCTAAATAACTTGATTGCTTGGCCCGTGTGTAAGGAATCAGAATGAGATATTTCCCTGTGCACCCTCGCCCGGGGTCCCTTACCTTACGCTTATGCCCTGGGCGAGGTGTTGCGGGAGGACGGACCTCCTCCGCAGCGGCAGCCCACCGGAGACCCGCCTCACTGAGCCGCGGCGCCTCCCTCCGTATTAATGCGGCACCTGACGCCGTGCGGGGCGCTGTGAGGGAGTCGTGCTTCGCGCTGGGTGTTTTATAGCCGGATAGCGGTGGTTGTTGGGATTAAGGCACAGGCTGGATGGTATATTTATATTTATATACAGGCTGTGTGTCATTAGATCTCGCTGGCTCTCCGTTACCGGACCCGGTCCAGTCTTTACGATGAAGGCATTGACTCCGGCGCGGCCCCCTGGCGTCTCCGCCGCCTGCGACGCGCTGCCCCCGGCTTGGGGGGACGCGACGCACCGGCTCCGCGGCAACATGAGCGGCTGCTATAGCCGGCTGCGGCGCCTGGTGCCCACCATCCCGCCGGACAGGAGGCTCAGCCGCGTGGAGATCCTGCAGCACGTCATCGACTACATCCTGGAGCTGCAGAGCGCGCTGGAGACGCACCGGGCGATGCTGCGCCGACGCCGGGGGACCCCCGCGACCCCACGGACCCCGCTGACGGCGCTCAACCTCGGGCAGGTGAGCCTCTGCACCGGGGTTACAGGTGCAGTATCTGCATCCCTCCGTCCGTCTAACCGGCTATCCTCGTCTTTGGCTGCGGGGGAAATGTCTTTATGAGATGGGAAAATGGGTTTTCACGTTGTTAAGCAGTTAAGGCTTCCTCTGCATTCCCACATTTTTTTTTTATTTAAAAGCGCCATTTCTGTGCTTGAGTGTGCAAGGTGGTGAGAGCCGTACAGGGTCCTGTGTGCACGGAGCCCTGGCGCTTGTTGGGGGCGCCGCCGCCGCTGCTGCCTGGGGTTCTCTCGCTTTTTGTTAATTCTCCTCCATCCGTTTTCCCCGGAATAATGTTCCCATGTTACTGTTTTCAGTTTCCGGCTGCATCCATAGCCCAGAAGCAGGAAGAGGCAGCTTCATGTACCCCAAGCGCGGCAGAATGGTGAGGGCCGCATTCAAATGCTTAAAAACATTACGCTGAAAAAGTCACGAGGTTTTTCACCTTTGATCCTAATAGACAGCGTGTATACTCGGACTTTGCTCTGTAATGTTCACCCTTTCTTAAGGTGGGCTTTATCTGGGTGTCATTTGCTGGCCCCGGTCAGCAGATGGCGCCCTTCTCACTTGCCCCGGGTCACTAGTCCTGAGTGGCCCGTCGGGCTTTTAAGGGGAGGGGGTTTCTTTGGTCTATATCAGCTGTTTATATGTGATCGTTCCTCTGTCACAGGTGCCCTGAAAGCTGATCGGGAGTTTTGAGATGTCACGAGACTTGGTGACAGAGTGCGGCCTGGTGGTCTGGGCAAGTAAAATGGAACCAGATGACGAGTTTGACTCAAGCCAAACATATGACCAAAACCTAAGTCGCGGGGCCGGGGGGGGGTGGGGGGGGACTCCACTTTGAATATGTGCTGGATAATTTCATGGGCATTTAACCGATAACAAAGGATCCCTTTAAGAGACGAAGTTAACGCTGACAGCTTTATCGAAGGACACCGTTCGCTGACTTGTTTAAAACAGGTGAGGCTCACTGTGTTCCCTCGTGAGACGTAGACTACCTTATGGCTGCCGTGGGTTTCCCGCCATTTTACGTCTCAGTACGGATCGTCCAAAAAAAATCGAACCCAAAAAAGCGCATCTTAAGAGCATCGCCTGCTTCCTCAGAGCAGGTCAAACTATCAGCTTTAAATGTCACCTGGTCCAAAGTTTCCAATTCTTACTGCACATCTTTGTCCCCTGTATTTTTGGGAGGGATGTGTGTCTTTTACAGGGTTTTTACTCTCTGTTTTTTGCTATTTCACACTGTGACGTTTGCCGTGAGTTCTAACAGCGAGTTGTATATAGTCGACATGTTAATATTGTTTATGTTACGGTACATACATGTTCAACTGACTGCTGTCGTTTTGATAGCCGTGTTAAGCTCACATACTCTATATTGTGCCATTTTTTCTGTTCATTACTCTGCTATATTTTGCAAATAAAACCATGTTGTCTTCATTGTGGTGTTATATGTGTGTTTATTAGTCATGTTTGTGTTCATTTTAAGCAGCGATATTCATGGAAAGGGGACAGGTTTAAAAAGTGTCCGTATCTCATCGGAGGGAAGCGTCTGCCTGTTAACCTTGCAGTATGATGATGATGATGATGATGATGAAGAGGAGGATGAAGATGACTCCTTAACCTAAACAGTGCACTTTGCAGAATGCTGTCCGCGCGTGGTGTGCGTAAACTCGTCATGCTTTCGTCTTTACAGGAAGCCTTGATTAAGGCCCAAGCTGGTCCCTCTCTACTTTGCTTACTCCAACATGAATCCAGTGCGCATATCAAATGATATTAATAAGGAGAGGACGCTTGGTACTTTCGGGTGTTACCGGGTCCTCTAGAGGATCTGTAAAGATGATTTATAAAGAACACAGTTTGGTTTTCTTGGGATATTTTTAGCAGATGATTTGTAGTCTTCTGTCTGTGTAAGTGAGGAGGTTTTCGCTTAAGGCTGTAAGCATGTTAGGATCCGTGTTAATGAACTAATCTCTGGGGCTTTGCTGTCGCCACGCCGCTCATTTGACTTACTTTTACAGAGAAACCCCCTACAGATCAGCGGCTTTGTTCGCTCTCTGGTCGCGTGTTGACTGGCTGGGGTGGGAGATGAGGGGGAGCGGAACCAGCAGGAAGACGTTTGATAATTGAACGAATCAGGAACTTCCAGTTGTAAAGTCAGAAATGCACCAACACGGTGGGCATTATTGACAGACACTTTTCAGTATTTTACCTGTTAAGGCATTCACTCGTGGAATTCGCGTGTTTCCCAGTTTTTGTGAAGACGATGGGCCTAAACATAGATACATTAATACATTCAGCACCTGGAGTGACATAGCACAGCTACTGTCAGCTTATAAGGACAAATCTGCAGGACCTGGCTGCTAGATGCTGCTGAGGGTCTTTCTGGTCCACGGTCATGGTTCAGACATAAACCGCAACCTTTGTCTACCTGCTTCTACCTTCTGGTCACGCTGTTTCTCTCGGTGGCGTCTTACAGGTGTCAGTTCTGCTTCCCGTCTCCAGATGGTGGCTTGGCACCTATCAGATGACGCGTCCCTGATGAAGGCAAATCCGCTTGCTGTCTTTATCCTGTAACCTTAACACTGCGTTCATACTCCACGTGTCAGGCCCCAGCTGCACATCCAGCCTTAGAACCAGTCCCATATTCGTCTCTAACGCTACTCGCCGGTGCCCCCTGTAGGGCTGGCCCCAAACTGCGGTCAGTGGACTCATTATCTGTGCAGTTGGTCAGTGTGCTGTGCAGTGAGCTACGATGGCTGTTAGGGTCGCCCAGGCAGAGCTGCAGGGGCGGAGAGTGAAGCGGGCAGTCACAGGGAGACCACGGGCGGCCTCGCTGCGCTGTTATTGGCCAGGTCATTATCTCAGGGTTTTCTTGCCGGGTGGTCTGGAAAACGCTGATGTCTGCAGAAATGCGGACAAGAAGTGAATTAATTTATGCGACTCAATCCAGATAAGTGGTGGAAAATTAATGAATGAGTGAATTAATAAATGATTGATGATGATGCTTCTCTACTTGCAGTTCCATTTTCCTTCATGATTTAAAAGTCATTTTATAGTATTTCCTGAAATCTTTTCCTAAGATTGAATGCTACTGCAGTGGTGTTTCTTCTCTCCCTATACAGTGTTTTCTCTCTCTCTCTCTATTTCCCTCTTTCTCTCTGTCAAGTTTACTCTCTTTCTGTGTATGCCATTCTTTCACAGCTTGATGGTAGAAACCTCCACATGAGTGAAAAGTGACTCTTTGTCTGGAATCTGTACATTGCCCGATCCAGCAGGGGGCGCTCATGAGCTTATCAGCTGGCAGAGTTTGGTCTGTTTAGCTGTTTCATAATCGAATAGCGGCAGGTCCAATTGCCCTTTAGATGCTTCCTGTTAGTTTGACAAAAGCGGCAGAGTGTCTTTCGACCATGACATCCTTCCTTCCATTCATTCCCCACCCTTCTAATGAAGACTGAACATAGGATGCAAATTGATCTCATCTCAGTGACGCTCCTTGGCCCTTGTGGCCTTACTGGTTTTAGGTTGGAGACCCTGTATCACTTTCCGCTGATGATTAAACACAAGCAGGCCGCTTTGTCCCACAATAAAGGATTCCAGGTTAACATTCCTGGAGGTTTTCCTTCTGATGTGTAGCTGTGTGGCTTGAGAGTAAATCCCTTTATGCTGCTGTTATTCTCCTTTAGCTTCTGCTGCGGTGATTAATTAGCAGTGTTTTCTGTGGCACAGGTGTGGGTGCCTGAATCTGGGCCTCCTTCATCTGCACAATAACCCCTTGAGGCCGTCCAGAGGCTGAAATTACACCCCTGCCCCACGCCAGCCCCCCTGGGCCTCAGGTGTAGGTGCATGGCACAGTGTAAACAGTCAGGCCAGGTGCCCGCCTCTGTGTACACAGCAATTAGGCTGTAATATCCCCGCCAGCTGGTTGGGCCTGGCCGCCAGAACGACGGGCAGGAGCTGGAGTAATAGCTGGGGGGGTCCGTAGCTAAGACTCCCCCCCCCACCCTTTTCTACAAGGACGAGAACAACAGCCACCTGACAGACGCACAGGGTCCCCACCAGCTCGGGAAACAAAGGATTTTCATCACCTCGACCACAAGGCCACATCAGGCTGCAGAAAGATCCCTGATTTCACCGGCTGCTGAAGATCAGGGTCACGTCAGGATGGGGGTGAGGGGCTGGTGTGAGGTCGACAGGCCGCAGAGCCCGGCAGCCAGGTCATGGTGTCCCTCACATCTCCCCTGTACCACCGCGGGACCTGGAAGTGTAACAGATATGAGGCACCTGCATCACCTCAGGCCGCACGAACATTCAACAAAAGAGCAAAGGGACAGTAACCCTCCTGTCTCTGGTTACAGGTCAGAGCAGGGCTTCAGGTGGTCATGAGCGTGTTGTGGGACAGCGAGAGGACTGAGGAGCAGGGACACTTCACTGTGTAGAGCGAGAGGCGGGCCTGGGTATTTAGGGAGGGTACTTAAGTGCACTGCAGCGAATCAGAGAGCTTCTCCCGGAAAACGTGAGGTCTGATTGGCCAGGATGAAGCCTTGTCTCCTGAAGTACATATAGAGGATGTTTAATCAGTTAGTTTGCAAATATTGTTTCAGTCATATTTATTATGCAAAATGATAAATTGTTATTCAAAATGTAGATTTAGTGCAAAGGAACAGCAATTCAGTGAGATTACTCATGATTTTCAACTCAACCCCTCATCTTTCCTGTTTTTGACACTCTGCCTCCCCGCCTTCCATTTTGTGGTGAACTGCTGACTGAATCTACTGCACTCTCTGAGTTCTAACTTACTAAAAAGGTAGAGAAACACTGGACATGTTGGCCATCTGCTTCCAGGCCAAATCTCGCTCTTCTCCTCTGTTCCTGGTGGCATGATAGTTTAACAGCTGAGCTCCGCACTTAGGATAGGCAGCAGAGGTGGCAAGCAGGTGGCAAGGCTCTGACTAACATTATCGCATCCTCACTGCAGAGCAGAACGCTCCGGCACCTTGTGAAAAATAATGGCCAGCAATTTGCCCTGGGCTAATTCAGGCTGTAAAATGAGGCAGATGTCAGGCTGAAAGGATAAAAACTAGGCCGTCATCGTACAGTTTTGGAGGCTTCAGTTCTACAGTAATTTTCCACCCTGCACTTTGGAAGCACAGCCATTAATTTCGGTGACTCTGTATCACAATGAGACAGTGTGACTGACTGTGCTCTTCAGAAAATAGGAACAGTTCCTTTATGTGAATTTCAAAGACAAAAATACTTTAGTTAGTGTAGTAAGACACAGACATATATGCATGCCCACAATTGGCCATTTACAGAATACCGTTTTTAATAAAGCAATATTTTGAGGTTATAGAAAGCAGTGTTCTGCTGCCACCTGCTGGACACAAATAGCATTTGGTGGTCAGGTTTGTCTTCCGCTCTGTTTAGACGGGTTAAGGTTAAATTGCTTCGCAATGCTGTGTTTAGTCTTAGCACCGCTTTGTCTAAAAATTAATGCATGTTTGTAAAAGATATTCGTCGAAGAATTTTCCTTCGTATGTATAAATCTGTTGAAAAAACAATTCAGTGCATTCTTATAAGTACGACAAGCTCGGGAAGACGGGGGAATGAATTCATCGTGTCTTGTAAATAACATTCACTTTTCAGATAGACGGGGCAAATTTTGTTTTGTCTGAATTTTTACATTGTTTAGTGTCTCGTCTATAAAAATGCCCTCCACGTGCCAAACATCTGAAATTAGTGCAATTTTATGCATTTCGAGCCAGAATACATAACGATTACGTAGTGTTTTGTTTGGAAAACTTTCAGAGTGGGTTTCCAGATACTTGCCATTGACTGAGAGGTCATTCGCGGTTTGATTCTGCAGACACCAAGAAAGACTTTTTGAGTATCACAACTAACATGACAATAAATGTACATTATAATTACGGAGTCATTTTAAAATAAAATGTAGCTTTCACTTAAAATGTTTCAGAATTTTAAGTATATAATTTGACTTCCATTATGCAAAGGGTGTCATGTGAAAACCAAACATTTGTCTTCCCATGCTGTTAAAACTCGTTAACACATGACTAAGTCTGCTTTTTGCTGTCCAGTTATTCACTGGTTGCCATGTCCAATACGTCTCTTCACGTTTTAGTATTTTATAACATCCAACAAAAAAGCTCTGCTAAGATGTGTTACATAAGTAGAAGGAATTCCACTGCAGTATCTCAAAAATTCAACATCTGCATCCTTCAGCTACTCATACGAGTCCCAACCCCGACCTGGGTGTGAACTGGGCCCTCTGGGATGTAGGTTTCAAGCCCCAGTGACTCACAGAAAGCAGAACTGTGAATTACTTGTTTATCCAGACATGTACTGGGAAAGATAAGAAGCGACTGGACACTGTCCTGGGCTCAGAACTTCACCATCACACCCTTTCCTGGGTATGTTCAGCACCCTAACTGGCAGTGTCAGCATAACACCTTGTTTGCAGGATTGCTCTGTGTGCAAATCTAATTGAAATGTCCTCCTGCACTTGAGGGCAAAGCCTCTCGCCGCCAAAGGCAATAAAGGTTTCGAACAGCCTTTGTGAAAACTCTCAGGTGCACTTTTCTCTGTCTGAGCATATAAGAAAAGTCACTAAGGAGCTTTTGACTCATGATTCATGGCTGTAGTAAGTCTGATTTGCACAGCTGCTTGCACATTGAGGATCAGGTGAAACATACACCTTGTTGCAGCGTCGAAGGGCAGAAACGGCATGATGAGGGTCATGTGACACCATGCCCAGCAAGCCTCACCTCCCAGGGCTCCCGCAGTCCTTAGCCGGCATTAGCTGGTCCACGAGCAGCGCTAATCGGGGCTCATTAGCATGGCCCTGCTCACACACCCTGAGAGGGAACATCTTTGATCCTTGTAAACACCGATTCACGCTCTGAGACACGTTAATCCGAGCACGCTCACCGGGCTCGGGGGCAAACACGGGGATTTCTTATGAAGGAAAATGGTCTTCTCAATCATCAGGTTCATCACATTTTCAAAGCACTTTCGGCTAAAGGTCCAGTGGTGGAATTTCAGAGTCAGTTCTGTCTGGACTCGAGTAAATGAAAATAAGCAGTGATTGAGCAGCACACTGGAGGTTGGAGCAGAGCCCCCTTGAATGAGAAAGCAGTGATTGAGCAGCTCACTGGAGGCTGGAACAGAGCCCCCTTGAATGAGAAAGCAGTGATTGAGCAGCTCACTGGAGGCTGGAACAGAGCCCCCTTGAATGAGAAAGCAGTGCAGGATGATGCTCCCCAGTTTATTTTGCTGCCACTTCGCTCATCTGTCTAGCCGGACAGATGAGTCCTGTGCATTTCACTTGCTCTCAGGTCAATTGAGTGTCAAAGAGACTACAGATCTGAGGAAACGTACATGCCCTACCAGGACCATTTTATCATCCATCCATCCATCCTCTTATCCTGATCAGGGTTGGTCACAGGGGGGGCTGAAGCTCATCCCAGGCAGCAAAAGACAGGGCTGCACACTAGGTGATGTAAATCAGAGATGAGGGCTAATCCTCCTGCATGCCTTTGGAAGGCAGGTGGAAATCCTCAGACAGCTTTCAAAGCCCCAGCCCATGTGGCAGGACACGACAGCGCCACCCACTGAGCCACTGTGGAACAACCCAGCAGAGCATTTTTTGATGATGACTGTATGTATAAGATTTCAGCTGGAGTCTAATGTAAACTGACACAGACAACAGCTCAGCTTCTCTGCGGTAAAGTGAGCCCACAGAGTGTGCCATGTGACCCCCGATGATGGGTGTTAAGTTTTAACTGACTCATCCCAGGGCCTATCAGCTCCCTTCTAAGTGCAGGCTCCTCCTCCAAGATTCCCAGCATGCTTCAGGTCTGAGCAACTCCACCTGCTTGGGCTCTAATCCTTCAGGATTACCCCACCCACGACGCATTCTCCTGCGGTCAGCACGATGCCTGATGGCTTGCTGGCCTGCTTTCCACGCCAGCTTTCCCGCCATCGCAGAGATCAAGGAAAACTGATCATTTCTTTCTATGTGGAGTCGCAGGCAAGGGTCCAGGACCTGCAAAGGACAGACGGAGCTGTGTGGGCAGGATGCCATTTTCCTGTCCAGTCAGCAGGACTTCCATTATCGTGGCACAAATGTCTCAAGCCACTTATCAAAATGTAACACTGAATTACTCTCTCATTTAAATTTTATAGGGCAGCAATACGGAGAAAGCTTTGCACCCCCAGATGTGAGATTCCTCCTGGGGTGGACACTGTAGATAAAGCTGCATGCTTTTTTACCATGGTAATGGACGTGTGGAACAAGTTAGAAGGTTCCTCAGTAACTCACCTTCAGGGGCCCAACATGCCTGCTGACCAAAGACTTGCTTCCAAAAATAAAACATGAATAAACTTTCTCCTGAAAGCTTAAGTTCACCACATTTTAAATTTACTCCAGACGTATTTCTCACTGCTATTATGTTGCTATTTTGGCTTTTTTCTCTTTGATTGGGCCACCCGGTGTCTTTAGCCCATTTCCTAGAACATTCTGTACACTTTGAAGTTGGAACTCAACAGCTGTGAAGCAGAGAGGAGACAGCAGCTCCATGGGTGTGGTGAAGGACATGCAGCACCATGTAGACATCAGGGCGCAGAGCTATGGAGCTACAGAGCTAGCAGGGACCCATAACCTGTGACGGAAATAGCCTCCTGACAACCACATGGAGGCAGAGCAGTTAGATAATAGATAATCTGTAAGATCCTTTAGCTGTCCTTTGCCCTAACCATGCCAGTAACTATCCTCAGTAAAGCTGTCATTATCTAATGATAGGAGACCAGGCACAGAGCAGTTTATTTAAAAAGGGTTCAGGAGTTGAACAAGTTGAAGAGAGCTGGGCAGCTGGAGTCATAAAGTGTTCAGTCCCCAAGCCACAAGATGAAAGTTGTGCCTTTGTTTACAGGCCTCGCCTTAAAATTGCTGAAACAGCTGAAGAACTTCTGTGACTCATAAATGCTAACCCAAACCCTAAATGCTAACCTTGTATGCTAACCCAAACCCTAAATGCTAACCTTGTATGCTAACCCAAACCCTAAATGCTAACCCTGTATGCTAACCCAAACCCTATATGCTAACCCAAACTCTAAAGGCTAATACTAAATGCTAACCATAACCCGAGGTGGCTTTCACAAAGCTGAGGTCCCTTTACAATCCTGCAATGCTTCACTACTGGATGAGGTCCCCATGGCTGTGCCGGTCACCCCGCCACTTTCAGCATGCCACTTTCCTTGCCCCCCGATGGTGGCCCCCTTTCCCCCACCACATGGTACTCAAATGAGGCCCAACAAAACACCAGGAAGCCACCCCATGTTCACAGGACGAGGAAGATGGGCAGTGTGTGGATACTAATATGCTTTGGTATGTTTCCCATTTTTCTATCTTGTATGAAAATGTCAGCACCATGTTTTACTGTCATGTTACTTCATACACCTGTATTATTCTCAACATGGCTCGCCTGCTTCCTGTTTGCCTTGTTATATTTATGGTCAGTTATGAAAAATAACAATACCTGCCGTGAACAACACCTGTCATACTTGTTTCTGTTTCTGTTATAGGATCTATTATGGAACCTGTTATGGGACCTGTTATGTGCATGTGTCCTGTCCTTCAGAACAAGGGTACCCAATCTTATCCGCAAAGGGCCGGTGTGTATGCGGGTTTTCGCTGCAACTCCCTAATTGGATTACTAATTAGAGGACTGATTGGCTGAAAGAATACTCACACCTGGGTTTGAACAGCTGACCTACAAGTTATCCCAAAAACCTGCATACACACCAACCCTTTGCGGATAAGATTGGGTACCCCTGCTTCAGAAGAACTACAATCTAACTGGGACCTTGCATTAAGCACAACATTTTCAAGTTAAATCAGTTACATTGGTAAATTAGACATTCAGCTGACTTTGGAGTGAAAAGAATGGTTTCTGAAGGTGGTTAGCTAAATTAGAGCTAACGATGGGATCTCGTTTGTCTAATCCTTTAAAAGAGCGCATGTCTCCCAGTGCGAGATGAGACGTCTGTCTACAGTTCATGCATTGCAGGACACGTGTCTTGGTTTGAGTCTTGCGTCTGTTAGGCTCTTGAGCAAAGCCCTGACTCTGAAATAAATGGCTGGTCCTGTGCTCTGACCCCAGACTTTGGTCACCTGTATCTTTGTGTGTCATACTGAAGTATATGAAACATATAAAAATCAAAGAATTTCAATGTACTTGTACAAATAAAAGTATGTTATCTGTGTATTATTTTTTTAGTCAGTTATAAATCGTACATTTGTTCGCATTATCGATATAGGAATGATACAAACAACAATGCTGTGTCTTTAAGCTCAGATTCTGTCAAAAAGCCTGATACGTGACCGGTCAAAATCATTTCAGCACGGTGCCCTTGTTGCCGGAGCAACGCGGACTAGCCCCGCCCACGTGACGCAGCGTCGTGACGCAAGGGGGCGGGTCTTGGCGCCGAGCTGAAGGCTCCGGGGAACCTGGTGAAGTTTGGAGTTGGGTCTACCGCTTCTTCTCAGTTGTCTCCGTCCGCACTCTGTCCGCGTCGCCCGCCGCCCCGAGTAGCTCCCACCACTACTTGCTGGGGAAAGTGCTCGGTTATGGACTGTTAGCGGCTGGCTGTCAAGTCAATAAGTAAGGTGAGGAGTTTAAATCTTCTTTATGGAGAGATTGCAATTGGTGCCCTGACAGGGGACCAGGGGTCGGACGCTGCGCTGCCACTGTGACCGGGGACCGGGGGGGTCGGACGGTGCACCGCTGCTCGGTGAGGCTTCAGACTTCGACGCTTTTGTTTTAACGTGACTTTGGAGCCGATGCCAGAGCACCAGGCTGAGATGGGGGGCGCCGTGTATGAGTTTGAGGTGTGAGAGCCGCCGGAGGCTCGTCTTTGCCGCCCCTCGGACTGTCACACGCAGGGAGTTCCATTAGATGTGATCCGTGAGACCAAGCAGAAGCAACAGGCGGGTGTCGGCAGCCGCGGAGCAGCAGGGCAGGCCTGGCCGAAGGACACCCCGAGCAGGGTCGTGAGAAGCTGCCCGCTTGTCTGCTCCAACCTCTTGCCGAAGTTGTTCATCCAGTTCAGCGCCGTATTCCCGGGCGACATGTGTCATTTTTCATTATCTGCGCACTCTGGGGCAGCAAAAGTGGGAGCTTAATGGTTAGTGTTTATTTAACTGTTTAAAGTGAATGGTAATTTTTACTTTAAGATGTCCACGTCCTCCTTATGTGATGTTTGAGTCTGATTAACATGAGACCTGTCATTGAGGTATTTTGCCAGATAAGCTGAGGTATCCGACTGAGAGGAAAGTTCAAACTTGGTATAAAGACAGAAACAAGGGAAGCGAATGACCAGCAGTTTTGAGGAAACAGGAAGTAGGGATGCTCGCAGAATGAGCTGATCTGAAAGTCCACCCTGCTCACTCGTCACTTTGGAGAACTCAGAACTGCACTGGACCCTGGGCGGGGCTGAGGATTGTGTTTTGTTTTTTATTCGGGAGGTGGGGGGCAACATACAATCTCTGAAAACATGCCGAGCCTTTCAGCTGACTTCTGTCCTACAGTTGCACGAAATAGAGAGACCGTGTCCTAAAAGTGGTCTCATGTGCAGGATCCAGTGGGACAGACGAGGGCTCTGGAGTGATCGCGTGTGACTCAAACCAAAGGCATAAAACGTGATCTCAGATCTCAGCACGCGCGTGTCGTGCCCGCCCAGTGCGTAAATAACAAAAGGAGCACTCTGTGTACAGCGAATGGTTTGATTGCCATCTGATAAAGCCTGCTAGTTTGCCCGAGCGTGCTGTGCAGATCTTACCGGAAGCTCCGCGAAGCGGTGACTCTTGCAGTTGTCGATGTGGATGTTGATGTTGATGATGCTGCTGGATTTTCACACCCGCCCTGATCTCCAGATTACCGGCTTTGTGAGATGCGCCGGCGAGATACGCCGGCGAGAGGCGGTGAGCCATTTGAGGGTAATGAGCCGTGAAGTCACGCCGCGTCCTGCACCAGAAAGACTAGGCGTGTATAGAAGCGGGAGATCTTTCCACTGGGACTCTTTAAAACACAGACCGTACGGAGTGGCCATGAGGCTCGCTATTCTAAACCGAACCTCATGTTTTTGTTCTTGTTTGTCCGGAGGGCTGGTTTATCTCCCACCCACTTTCCAGGGTTCCAGTGGTTGGATCCTTAATCAGAATCTCACAGATCTTTATTTGCCAAGTATATTAATATAACATAATAACGTATTATATTATATATATAAAATATCAGTTTTGCGGGTGTTCTCTGGTAAGGAAATACAATATGCAAGACAATTTCAAGCCAATTTACAAGGATGCACACATGAAATTTTACATGTACTTTTCACACTAGACTGTATAGTCAGTCAGAAGCGGAACGGTGTGCAATAGAGAGATGATAGATTACATTAGATTACATAGAGAATATTAGTGAGCAGGGGTGATGCAAGGAAGAGTTATAGGATGTCAGCTGACTGAAGTGCAAAGTGTCTGTTGTTAGCAGACCAGTCACTGTCGGTGAGGGACACTGCAGTGGAACAGAAACTGTCCCCGTATGCTGGTTTTGGCTGTGATGGCTCCAAGTCTCCTGCCAGAGGGTAGAGGCTGGGAGAGGTCAATTCTTCTTCTTCTTCTTCTTCTTCTTCTTCTTCTTATTATTATTATTAAATTCACAGTGGGAATTCTCCTTAGTTGGTGGACATAAAACACAACAGAGTTCATTTCTACAGATAAACATTAAAAGAAGAACCATACCAAACAGTTCTCCCTCTGTCAGCATTGCCGCTTGTAGTGTGGTATTGTGTGGCTAGTGGGCTGAGCCTCAGTACCTGTGATCAGAAGGTCGCCGATTGGAGCCCAGCCTCAGCAAATGTGCGGGTCCCTGAGCAAGGCCCTTAACCACCAGCTCCCTGGGCACAGCAAGCGGCGTCTGCCCTTCATGGCCAGTTTGCTCTCACCTACAGAGAGCAAGATGACAGAGGCAAGAAGAGAATTTCCCCATGGGGATCAGTAAAGTATCAATTACTATAATAATAATAATAATTATTATTATTATTCTTATGTCGTCTGTTTCTGAGCTAACTGGGAAACTGATTTAGGCAGTCCAGATGTTTGTTGATGTCACCCCCATGAACTCCCTCATTTGCTTCTACATCATCCCAGAGTGGCTTCAGGCTGCTGGAGAACCAGCCGCATTCATTTGACTGTATGTGACCTCAGACATGAGCACAGCAACAGTGCAGCTTATGTCTCTGAACAGCATTACATGCATTAGCAATCAAGTGTTATCTTTTTATTTTGCTTAAAAACCACTTCGATTTATTTGTTCTGTGAAACCTATGAGACTTTAAAATAGAAGCCATTTCCCATGAGATTTTATGGTGTCTTGAGATGGCCAATGGAAGCACGGCAGAGAGGTGCGGCCTGTCACTAACAGATAGGCTTGTAGCTGTATGTCGAACATGTGGCCAGTTGAATTGTGTCCTTGAACACATGTGAATGTTTTATGAAGCAGCTACTGGCTTCTGTCAAGATCTGGGATAATCAGGACCCTGGGTTAGATAAGAGGCAGAAAATGGCAAGAAAAAAACTGTTTTGGCAACAGCTCATTACAAACCCTTAAAGGTCCATTTGAGGTCCTTCATCACACAGCCACTGATCTCATATTTGGAGCTATAGAGTTTGGTGCGGTAAAGATTAAGGCCATGGAACTACTGATCCTGTATCCAGGAGCATAAGTCCACCTTCAGGTGGCAGCTGGAATCTGACCCCTTAGCCTGAGAAGCTAAAGGGCTAACAAGTGCGAAAGGTGTAAACATTGATGTACACAAGGCATTGATGTCCTTCTTTGTCATGCACATCCTCGCTGTGTGAAGTTAGAGAATGTCATTTCATAACCCAGCTATCTTATGTTTACTATCTAGGCAAGGAGGTTTAGCAGGTACTGCTGAATTTTAAAGGTTTTTGTATTCTTTTATTCAGGTTTCCTGCAATGCTTGTAAGCTAATGATGAAAGATTTATTTCCAGTCATTTCGCTGAGAGGTGCACCAATCCGATATTTGGGATCAGTATTGACACCGATCCATACCTAATTAGCTGGATTGAGTATCGGCCATATGTGACCGTTCCATGGTTAAGTAGCTTTCAGCAGTCTGTAAAAAGAGAGCTTGTTTCTTATTAAATCACAATCAATCGCACGGCGGCTCTTCCACATTTTAGATGTGTTTTCGTGGCAATCAAGCTGAACGCTAATGTTGTCAGTCAATCTATTTGGTATGTCAGACATGTTTGCAACCTAGAAGTATATTACACTTGAAACAGCAACTTGTCTTTGTAAAAACAAAGTTTTGAGAGGTGGGAGTAGAGTTTAGCGGAAAATCCCACTAAAAAAGTAAAAAAAAAGTTTAAAAAAAAAAAAAAAGGAAAATCCCACTAAACAAAGCGCATGAAATTGTGTGTAATCTGAAAAAAGCAATGGATGATTTGGGAGTTGCTAGCTTGGGCTGCTTTGCACACTCACTACAGCTTGTGAAACACGAGGGGCTGCTATCGCAATTAAGTGTAAGTGACGCTGTTGGCAGTGGGAGAAACATTGCGGGGCATTTTAAGCATTTGTCCCTAGTGTACACTCTCTTGGAAGATATTCAAATTGAACTGCAAATGTCTCAAAAACGTTTAAAACATGATATACAAATGAGGTGGAACAGTACATTATGTATCTTTTAGTAGCCTAATTAGCAAAGGTGTTTTGGCTTCTTTTTTTTCATTTGTATTTACTAGTTTAAAAAGGGTTTTGGTATCGGATTGGTATTCATATCTGCCGATACCCGCTATTCAGGTATCGGGATTGCATCTGCACTGAAAACGTGGGATTGGTGCACCTCTATTTTCAGTTTGTTGGCATAAAGTTGCCTGTATATACAGTTACATGATCTGCTGCTATGTTCTGTCTGATCTTTGCTAACACAGAGACTCAAAGGAGAAGCTACAGCATAAATTGCATTCAGTTGCTGCTGCTTTTTCATCATGGTATCTCTCATCAAGGGCATTGCTTCTGATAAATGTGGGATCAGCTCGGCCTGAAAAGCTTAGGGAGCAGATACCATCTTCTGTCACTCTGAACGCCCTCATGTCAGTCCCAGTAATTGCAGTAGAGTTACTTAAACAGTATATAGTTCGTTACTATAAGGGAGCAATGGGTTAGTTAGGCAACTGCTGAAGTGCCTTTATGGATTTGACTGTCTGCCGCTGTTCTTGACTGACCTACCAACATCTCCTGAGGTGGTGTTGCAGTCTTCTGCCCACTGAAGAGGGTCATATGTAGCAACTCCTCGCTTTCTTATGTAACAGCATCATCGCTTTGAGAGTCATTTCAGTAAGAGCCTTAGGGTTAATTGAAGAGAATGGACAGTTCCTAGGGGGGGTCTAGAAATAACCCAGCCCCCAATCCTCCTTCCCAGCCGGCTACTGTTAGCTTAGTAGTACCTGCTGTAAGCCCTTGAGTATCCCAGGAATCCATTAGCCCAAGATACTGTGGTGTACTCCACTATGTGTGTGGATGCAGCTGGACAGTTCCCGAAGTTCCATACGACTTCTTTGGACTTACAAAATGATGTTCACTGAAGAAGTGAGATGCAAGAGAAGCATGCATGTGAAATTCTGTAAAATAAAAATAATCCGGCCATTTGTGTCCAGGATTTAGAAGAGTTACCATTATATGTTGCTTTTTGTACAGTATGCATTGTGCACGTCTCTGCAGGATTATTCTTCTATTACTCTATTATTCTTCTATTATTGTTCTTGGTTTTTTCTGGCTTCCGACAGTCCCTGATGGCTCCTGGGGTGAATCTCAATATGTGTACTTGTTTTCCCATGTCCCTGTTTTATGTCATCTTCCATTGCCGAAGACCTGTTCTAATACTAAGAATACAAGTACACAAGGACATTAAAAATCCCCGGATGCTGGTCTTTTTCCGCCCCAAATATCGAGGATAGATCGGTTGCACCCTTACCAAACGAGACTAATCCCATGATTCATAGTGCCCCAAGTTCATTCTTGGAAGGCAAGTTTGCAAGATTGGTCTTGCCAAGACCTCAAGTATCTTTGCGTTCTTGGTATTGAGATTCAGCCCTGGTCTCCACTGGTTCATGGTTCCTGTTGGGTTCTGGCAGTTGTTGATGGCTCCAGCACTCCCCCGGCTCATGGTTCCTGCAGGCTCCTGGAGTCTCTAATTGCTCCTGGTCTCCATCGACTTATGGTTTCACCTGGCTTCCAGTGGTCTCTCTTGGCCCATGTTCTGCACAACGGAGTACCAAATTCCATTTGAATTAATTAAAATCCTGTCTATTAAAAGTTAAGGCACGATGTCTAATGGATCTCTTTGTTTTGAATCATTGTTCCCCCTATGCATTTAATGCCTCTCTGTGTAAACATTACACAGAACCATGATGAACAATGTTTTATCTGCATAATGTTTACAATTTATCCTTGTGATAACAGCCAGCTTGGAGAAATGTTAGCATGTAGCCAAAAGCCGGGGCCAAATCAGTGAAGTGAACAAAGCAAGGATTTCATCTGCAGTCTTCCAGCTACCCAGTCACTTCCTCGAGCTGTTCCACACAAGCCATGCTGAAGAAGTTAATGTCAGTAACTGCTTCTTCCTAGAGTGTTACCCAGACACAATAATCAGCACAGTGGCAGGCTTACTGGTCACTGGCTAATTATCCCATCAAGGATTGTGTACCAGAAGAGGTGGGATGAATTTTTCACCCCTCCCAGAAGTATCTAGTCTCCCTTTCCCCACGACAGGATTTGAGCTGAGCTCAGGAACTGCTGTAGCTAATAAAACGGACAGATGCAGTTCCTTTTGATGTTTGGACCATGAGTAAATCTCCATAATCAAACAAGCCTCTCACATTACTCCATTTATAATGGTTACATACTGGGGGTTTCACTCTTATACTGTTTGTGATGGTTAAACCATGGTTTTTTATTTTATTTATACTGCCTATGGTGATTATATCTTACAGGCAGGGCTGTCCCAATCATGAAATTTTAGTTGACAATTATCATACAACTAATTGCGATTAACGATTTAATTGTCTTTTTCTGTTCATTTTATAACACTATCAGATTAGAGTTAGCCTAATCATAGTTTAATATTACAACACAACTTAAGAACTGAATATTTTAACATAAATTGCATTTCCCTTTTAGGCTTTGTAAACAAAAAAATATAGAGGCCTGATATGACATTAACAAACAAGACGTTAAATGCCTAGAGATAAACCATTCATCTGACAAATTATCTGGCTAAGCAAGAAATCCGGCTTTGTGAAACATGTCACTGACCACTTGGGTTAATGATTCTGTTGACTTTTAACTTTTGGGTTATGAAAGTGTTGTGAAACGAAGTGGTACACATCGGGCACCATGGTAAAATTTGCTGAGACGTGTAATGCAGCGCATGCGAAGACGTGTGAGATACAAATGGGGCAGGTGGTATGCGTGAGTTCGGAATCACATCGAGATTATGTTATTAAAAGAGTGCCAGTTAAACATTACATGGTAGAAAACGATGTGAAAACTGATCGCAAATGTACCACATTTAGGAATTTCAGTAGCTGAGAAGTTGCTCTAAATGTCACGATGTATGTAAAAATCATTATTTACATGTTTGGTTTGAAGTTAAATATCAAATTTCTTACACTTTACCTGTAAAAACCCTATTAATCCCCATCAAAAGCAAAAAAATATATATTTATAATAAAAAATAGCATTCAGAGGCCAGGAGTCATGATATATTCTCCATACAGGAAATGTCTCTTATTATGATGACTTATTTTTCTTCCTTTTTCTGATGTAATGAAACATGGGTACAATGACGACTGTATGAAACACTACGCAAAATAAATGAATTATGGAATGAGGATGCAGATGTGTAATTCTTATTGATAGTGTTGTCAGAAAAATGTTTACAGCACCTTAAAGAACCAGCAGGAAAAAATCCTGACATTTCTTAGAAAAACCTTTTGTCTGCATTTCTATTTCCGGGCTTGTGAATCTGCACTGGAGGTCACGGTGTTCAGATTCTGGATTCTCACCACCCATAATCACTCTGCTCCACTGGGATGAAGTGAACTGCTCCTCCTTCTCCCGATTTCAGAGCTGTGGTTAGGCCAACAAATACAAAAAGGCAGCACGAGTCGGATACTATCTGTTTCCTTGGCGCTCAAGGAAAGCCTCCAGTCATTGCATCTTTATCTGAAACAGTTCACAGTAGTTATGGCTCTTGAAGGCACCGCTTTTTATAATCAGTCCTGGGTTCAACCCCCCTCTGGGCTCAGTCGTCAAGGCATCCGGAGGACTGAGAAGGATGCTTGATGACACCCTCCATGATGGGATGGAGCCGGAAGGCTTTCACAAGCAGCTGTCTCTTCTTGTGCATCATGCTGGATATTCTGGGCTCTGACGGACGTGGGGGACCAGGACCCAGCGGGTTCTCCAGCCCACGCCCAGTACGTCAGCTTGATCAGCCTTAATCACAGCTGTAGACTTGCATCCAAGGTCTTGTTCTATTCACATTTTCAATCATCTGAACTTAGAAACATTATCTTTTTCTGCAAACAGTGTACTCTAAGGAGTGTACAATAGCCCTAAACTATTCCCTGTTCTTTGTACGGCCCTAAGTTCTCAGGGTACAAAGAATGACAGAAAAGCAGATGGCTCTGAAGGTCTTACTGTCTTATTCGCCATTGTATATTTGCCACTAGAGACAAAATGTGCCCATTAAACAATTCAAGAACTGATAAAATTTCCCTGAAATTATTACCGATGCTTAAATTCTCTCCTTTCAATGGGAAGTCACAGGTTGTCTTTCACAGGTGGTCTAACTGTGAATTCCTGTGTCACACTTAGCACTAGAAGCTCCTTTTGGAATCAGGTCATTGTGGGCGATGGCTGAGAACTTTAATGTGCATGCATGCTGATCCGGGATGAACTGCCCTGCTTGTAGCTTCGGGATGGGGGTCTTATTGTAGCTGTGAAAAATCAGTGTGCTAGATGTGAGGGAGAGTGTGAGGAAATATGATGCAGCCGAGTGGAAAATGAAGCTGTCTGGACCTGGTGTGTTGCGGTGGAGCAAAACGGCGTCACGCTAGATATAGTCTCGCAAACTAAGCCAGGCTCTCTTCCCTCCAGCTTCTCCCTACTCCAGGCCCTTCAGCCAAAACTGACTGTGCGACATGGGCAAACAGAACAGCAAGATCCGCCCGGAGCTGATGCAGGACCTGCTGGAGAGCACGGACTTCAGCGAGTACGAGATCCAGGAGTGGTACAAGGGTTTCCTGCGTGACTGCCCCAGTGGGGCACTCTCCATGGATGAGTTCAAGAAGATCTATGGGAACTTCTTCCCCTACGGCGATGCCTCCAAGTTCGCCGAGCACGTCTTCCGTACCTTTGACGCCAACGGTGACGGCACGATAGACTTCCGGGAGTTCATCATCGCGTTAAGTGTGACGTCACGTGGCAGGCTGGAGCAGAAGCTCAAGTGGGCCTTCAGCATGTATGACCTGGATGGCAATGGCTACATCAGCAAGGCCGAGATGCTGGAGATCGTGCAGGTTGGTACCGTACCCACTCCTTGCATGCCTGCATGCTTGATGCCAAGCACGTGTAAATGTAGAGCAGAGACATGGTCAGTCAGTCATTGTTAAGATTGTGTTTTCTGGTACATGCACTTGTAACCCACAGGCTTAGCCCTGGTTGTGGGGGAGTGACTTTGAGGTCTGAACCCTAGCTGTGCCCATCAGTGTCTGGCATTGGTGCTTGATTTCTTAGCCATGCCCATCATTGTCAGAATGATGATGATGATGATGATGATGATGATGATGGTTGTTGAGTGGTGCTAGCTGATAAAATTACATGCCTGCCAGATCAGATGGAAGTTTGGAAGGAAAAGATGCCATTAATGACACGAAGCAAGGGTGTGTTGAAGCCCCTTACCTTCCAGAGTGTGGCTTCAGGAGGAACCTGGTGTGATTCAGAAGGAAGCTCACACCGGCAGATAAACCCGCTTGCTTCTCTGAATGCCTCACCAGTCAGCTCCGCAAAGTCCGGATGCTGAAAGGCTAAACACACCAGCGAATAATCTGACTGCTGATGGCGATCAGCACACGCGGTTAGTTCAGCCGAGTCCACAGAGAGCTGCCTTGAGAGGGGGGGGTCCATATGACCCTCATGGGCTGATTACAGTCAACATGACAGCACATGTCTCTGCTCTGCACAAACCCGTGACACTTGGCAGTGGTGTAGCCGCCTGGGTTCTGCCGCAGGCCCGGAGTGGCTAGCGAGGCATGCATCAGAACACAGCTGTGGCTTCTGGTTATTACTGCAGCCGGAGAAGCTTTGCATCTGTCTCACCCGTCATATTTGCATGTCATATGTTCCATAAATTGTGGCCTTGGACCGACCTCAAGGTTTGCCTGTTCACTTGCTTGTTGTGGGCTGACCTGAGGAATGACAGGAGGGACGCCAGACAGCCTGCAGAATGGACTCCGCCCCCAGCCATCAGTCCGCTTGCCCGCAATGTCCTGTGGACGACGTTCCTGCAGTTTACCCATAATGCAGTGCTCTGCCCACCTAACGTGTGCCGCCGTACTGTCTCCTTCAGGCAATCTACAAAATGGTGTCCTCGGTGATGAAGATGCCTGAGGACGAGGCCACGCCAGAGAAGCGGACAGATAAGATTTTCAAACTGATGGACACCAATGGTGATGGTGAGTGGCAGACTGCCGGTTCATAGGCTACTAGCTGACATTGCAATGCTGGAATATCAAGGAGGTGTGAAAGCCTGGATCATGAACCAGCATAGGGGTGGAGCTGCATGAGAGTTGGTTTATAATCAACAAGGAAAGACTGTACATGTAGATATACTGCCACCTACTGGTGGTACAATGGAACTGCAGCAGAGACAAAGAAATTGCTTCTGAGGTTATTACTGGTGTGCCTGTTTTCTCCAGGCAAGCTGTCCTTAGCGGAGTTTGTGGAGGGAGCGAAGAACGACCCCTCCATCGTGCGTCTGCTGCAGTGTGACCCCAGCAGCACCAGTCTGGGCTAAGCCAGCATTTCACCTCACCATATTTATTTTTATTTTGTTCCTTTTGTACTTTTTAAGCGTCATTTTATCTGAACACGTAGCGTCACAGTCAGTTATACAAATGCATGTTGTGTAACTGTACTGGTGGGGGCTACACGTGTGTATGCATACAAACTCACAGAAAAACTGACAATCAGGCACATATGTGCATCGCTCATGCAAACACACAGACACACACATGTGCATCGCTCATGCAAACACACAGACACACACATGTGCATCGCTCATGCAAACACACAGACACACACATGTGCCACCTCTCAACTATGGCCCTGTTCACTCTGAGGATTTCCCTCCCTGAACAGCTGGACTTCTGAGAAGAAAATTGATGTTAATTTGTAAATCGAACTTTGAAACCCCCCCCAAAATACAACTCATAGGGACACTCGGAAAACGACACCATGCTTCCTCCAGCATGAGAAACATATTAGGACTCATCACTGGACGTCGCTGGCAGTGGACAAGGATGACTTCTGACCTCTGAACTGTAGACTAGGATGACCTCTGACCTTCTGATGTGAAAGCTGTCTTTTTGCTTCTGTTTTTTAAGGCTTCGTGGGGCATGTACTGGAGAATTTACCAGATGGCGTGTGTGCGTGCTGCGGCTTCACAAATAGGCATTTCTCTGCCAGTTAGACCGCGCCAAGGTTATTACTGAATATCCTTTTTTTAATTCCCTGAACTGTTTCCTTTTTGGGCAGTTGCATTTCTGAGACGTGGGGATTGAAAGTCAGGCTGAGGGAAAGCTTGTGGGAATTTACTGATCATCAGTGCAGTGTAATGTGACATTTTAAAAGTAGAAGTCTTAAGCAAAAAAACAAACCAAAAAAAGTTCTTCTTTTCTGTTTATGTAACTTTTCAGAGCTCCTGGGGAGGAAAAAATGCTTGTGTTTATTTATGAATATACTGACGTCAGAAAACAGGCATCTTATCTTACAGTAGAAGGAGGTGACCCAGCTGCCATTTTTTTTAGTTTTGAGTGAGTGATTGTCTTGTATGTCAGGTTGAAAGTGTGTTCTGTAAATGGACGCTTGTGTTAGGCGTGTTGATGAAGTGAGGGGATGCGCATTTCTCAGTGACAATTGTCACGGCAGGATGGCGATCCTAGGTTCAAATCTGCAGCTCATCACTGTATGTCACCAGTACACGTGTTGTACTGGCCTGCCTGTTTGCACTGGGGACTCATTTAGTCTCACTTGTTTTTACCATCTGAATCGAATCCTTCTGTTCACCAGCGGAGGTGTCCATCACCTGCCAATCATCCACAGCCACGGGATTCAATAAAGCCTGCATGTTTTCCAAAGAAACTCACCTTGCGCGTTTTCTTCAAAAAATCTCGCTTCATAGCTGCCGTTTTTAGGGCAGCATGAAATAACCAGAACAAATTAAACATTCAGACGACCACAACCATGTCTGGGGGCCACAGGAGCAAAAGGTCATGGGAAAAGGGGTCATGCACACTCACCAGACCAGACCTTAAGGAGATGCCAGGCAGTGTGTTTATTTTCATACTCTGTGTTTTTTTTTGTGAAATGGTGAGAAATTTTATATGCAAAGTGTAAACTTTCCAGTATATAACAGTATGCCTGCTGCAGTTTTCTAAGGTTTTTGAAGGTACATTTTCACGTGATCTTGGCCAGAATGAGATGTTTGAGTGTCTGTGTGGGTTGGGTCAGATGGCCTGTTCTCCACACTGATATTTTGATGGAAATAAGACAGACACTCACTCACTCACTCACTCTCTTATACTCACACACACACACTGCAGTCCAATCAGGAGTTTCAGTTAATAACTGCTCATCCCTGTTATTAATCACAGTTAACAATGAAACTCACCAGTATGACTGCTGGAGTTTTCTGCATGTAACAGCTCTGCTTGGTACCTCCATCAAATGTAGACATATCCATCATATTTACAGATTTTATATTACCAATAAAATAAATACGTCTTTTAAAAAAGAAACCTTAAAAAAGTACAAAAGTGGTGTGTACTCTTTAGTCCAACCCTATGAGTATAAGATCACTGTTAGCAAGCTGAGTTGGGTTTCGCTTCTCTGTGAAGGTCAGGTGATCTGCAGAGATGTGATTGGTCTCCAAGACAGCTGCTGCAGGGAGATATCCACCACGCCAAAGGCAATAGAACAGCAACACACTGAATATTTGCCTCCATTTTTTCACAGAGAAGTAGAAAACATGATTGTCCTTTAAATGTCTTTGTTCAGTGATGCACACTGCACTAGGACAGAGGGTCACCTGCGTTCCTGAGGGCTCAGACGATGGATACAGTGCTGTCCCCTGTAAGCGCTCTTAATGCACTGTGGCCAGCTGGCCCAGTCTTCTGGACCCGTTCAAAATTCTGTTCGCTTACCGATGGTTCCTCTGGTAGCACATACAAGTGTGACGTCAGACCACAGCACGGTCTCTGCTGTCTTTTTGGGGTTGGATTGGACCCGGCCAACACCAAGCCTCCTCACTTCATGCTCAACAGTGCGTTTCGTTGGATGACGGCAATGCCAGAAACCAAAAATAACATTGTTTTCCCTCTGAAGAGATGGCTTACAGAACCCGGCTCAAGGTCTTCAGAACTCAGAAAATCCACAGTAATGTGACAAACTATCGGGCAAAACCATATTTACAAGATCGGTCCATTTGGAAAAGGTGTGTAAGAGAACTGGTCTAAGGGGGATGCTGGCTTCGGTGTGCTCCAGGCCTTTCTCCACACTGACCTCCACGATTCAAATGGACCCAGATGCTACAAAAGACACTGCAGTCCCTCAAAAGCCACTCAAATCTCTGTTAGTGTGACTTTGTAGGCATCTGCTAGATGGTCGATGCTCAGAATGAATGTATCCTCATTGGAGTAGTGCTCGATAATGTTGTCATCCATGTTGACCAGAATCCTGAAAGAGAGACGATGTAAGCTTATCATTAGCAACCATTCATGTCATGTGCCTACAAACACATTAAGGTGACACATATCCATAGTTGGATCTCATAATTGTCTTTTGTTGGCATAAACCCCATTCTTTACCCTTTTTTGTTTCTCTTGTAGACTTTAGCCATCCTCTCAATAGGAATGCCATATTTTTCTGAAATCTGAGGGAAAACAAAAAACTTTGTTGTTAGTTCACCGGTTCCATCATGATCAAATCTAGATATTCTGGACCTCATGATGCGCATCTGTGCACAGATAATAATGACACCAGAAATGGTCCAAATGCAGAGACAGACTCACCGCGTCCATGAGACCCTGTAATGTTGGGGACTTCAACACTAAAGCATCGAAGACTTCATCAGACTCATTCCTCACGTACAGGAGCACTGGGGGATGGAGAGACGGCATTTCCGTTACAGACAGCCCACGCGATCTGTCTGTCTTCTCAGAGTCATTGTCTACATCCATGTGTCTATAACCACAGTCATTTGAGCAGATAGGTATAATCACTGCTGAAAGCTGGCCTGTGTTCAATCCTCTGATTTTCTTTTATGCTGCAGTTTTATGGGCTTCTAAAAGTGCTGTTTAAGTGGCTATAATCATAGCTGAGATTTTACAACCGTGTCATGGTGCTCAGTCATGCTGCCTGGACACACCTTTCTTCTGTAGGTCCCCCTTCATCTGCTTGGATGGGGAGGCACTGTATTCATCCTGAGATGGTCTGAATATACTCTTTACCACCATGCTTCTGTAAAGGCCAACAGAAGAGAGCCCAGTACACCGTCACCAACACATCATAAGAACAATCACCGATCTCACCTCCCAATAACAACCAATCAAACTGTATCAAAACATTTGGGGGAGGAGCCTCCACAAGGTGTTTGGAATTTGTTCTATTCACTGCAGAGATGGACTGTCAATTTCCGTTCTTTGGAATCTAAACACTTACCCATCCTTCTCAACCTCCTCAGTGTTGATGGCATAGATCTGGGGACAGAAAAAAAGCACACAGGCATATCTGGTCATATATGATCCCCAAAACCTCGTGCTCATTACTTCCACTCAACGTCTCTCCCGATTCCACGTCTTCAACTGTTGGCTTGCACTTTTTTTTTCCAGTTTAGCTTTTGTGTGACAGTCTACAAGCTCCTCTTACCCCCAAAATCCCAGTACACTCACCTGCCCTGCCCTCTGCAGGTTTCCAAAGTGAACATCGGGAATGAAGAGGACGGGCTGCGAGTTCAGGTCCGTCATGGTCTTGAAGTAGGTGCAGTCCACCTTCTTGGGCAGTGGTAGGGCTCCCGGCCCACCGTCTTTCCCTGGTGACCAACAAGGAGCTACATTAGTGCAACACAAAGAGGTAACTTTGGTGAAACACTGCACCCCCCATCCTAGCAATGTGACAGCAACATGGGTCAGATATGTGAAACACGTAGCCAAATCTCTCCTGAGCTATGGCTTCTCCTTTGGCTACTTCCTGAAGACTGTTCGGTCTGATGGCTTAAGCCCAAACATTTGAAGGTTGACCTAGAATCCCTTGAAGGTGAGGCTGGTCTTCAGAGAAGTGGGGGGATCTGGCTTCACATCCTGCACCAGCGCACATCTCACCTTTGGATTTCTTTCGGATCTGCTTCCTCTCCTCATCCCGGATCTTCCTCTCCGCGCCCTTGGACCAGAAACAAACTGTCTGTCAAAAGCTCTGCTCCAGTCCTTTGTAGAAATATGCTCTGTGCATTATCCTAACGTGTATGTTGATTTGGGGATTCATAATGAAATATTCTGACACTTTCCAATCTAACCACTAGGGGGAGAACTTCCACTGTGGTAACCTCTGTGCACTTTGACACCTCTGGGTCTGTGAATGAATCACGTCTGCTAATTACTGTGAAGCCTTCAGAAGGGAATTTGGAATGGGATCTAAGGTGTTCACAGCCCACGCTGACCTTGTCACAGAAGACCTTGATCTGGGTGTACGCTCGATGAAGTGGCTTGTTGCTGTGATTGTTATAGCTGTAGGTGTCGATCTGGATCGTCAGAGGAAGTCCTTTCACACCCTTCTGGGAGGAGAAGTCCGTGCTCAGGCAGTTAACTGTGATGAAGATCTGTCAATCAGAGGGAGGACGGTTATCTGATTGGTCAATAACCAGCAGATCGACCAATAAAACTGGCCTATGAGAATTTCCACTCACACAGATCTCTGTGTTAGAATTCACTCAGGCACTACATTCCAGTTTAATTCTTGCCTAAGCTGAGCTGCGTATTTAACCAGATTATAGCGATTATATAGCTGCATGCATAATGAAACAGATTAAGCACCTTTCTTTAGAGAACAATAGTTCCACTCCTGAAATGTGACCACAGTATTTTAGTTACCAGTCTGCCTCTTAAGAACCTCTGTTACCCACAATACCCATCACTGGCCAGTCAGAATAATCAACCACCTGTGTTGTTGAAGGAACTGCCCCAAAACACTGCGACCTCATGGCCTCCCACAGTTCAGACTGGGGCCATCAGGCTTTGCTCTTGTTTGTTCTTTCATTCATAACATTTGTTCATGTTTCCTCCAGATTGGCACAGAGATTTTAACAGATCAACAGCAGCTTCACAGTTTCACCCTTCAGTCTAACACTCAGGTGAATGAAAGAGCAGACCAGCCCCTGGTGTGATACAGAGTCTCAGAGAATCAGAGAGCAGACCAGCCCCTGGTGTGATATGAAGTCTCAGAGAGTCAGACAGCAGGATAGTCAGCAGTCTGCGGACGAGCGTAAGTGGCTGAGCACAGGATAGTCAGCAGTCTGCGGACGAGCGTAAGTGGCTGAGCACAGGATAGTCAGCAGTCTGCGGACGACCGTAAGTGGCTCAGCACAGGATAGTCAGCAGTCTGCGGACGACCGTAAGTGGCTCAGTACAGGATAGTCTGCAGATGAGCATAAGTGGCTCAGCACAGGATAATCATCAGTCTGTGGACGAGCGTAAGTGGCTCAGCATAGGATAGTCAGCAGTCTGCGGACGAGCGTAAGTGGCTCAGCATAGGATAGTCAGCAGTCTGCGGACGAGCGTAAGTGGCTCAGCACAGTCCCTTTGAAGTTTTGTTTGCTTTTGTTGATGAATTCGGTCAGCTGGTGCAGGTTAGGTGTGCCGGTTTGAAACAGCCTGCAGAGGGGTTTAATCTGCTTGCTACCAACTTAGTTTATCTAACCACAACATAACAGTTGCTTTGCATGTAGCAAGTAAGGTGCACTGAAGTCTGAGTTACTATTACCACTGCAATAAGCTGGAGACGTCGCAATGACTCTCTACCCATGAAGAGCAGAAATGCTTCATTTTAAAGGCTGGTCCGTTCTGACAGAAGGGTTCACCTCTCGCTTCATTTGAGGCAACGTTTTACAACCGGATACCCGGAAGTGCACTGGATTAAAGCCCCTGTGAAACACTCTGATCTCCATCTGGAACGCAGCGAGCCCCCCCCCCGCCGCCGTTCCCGCTCCGCAGATCAATGGCTTTCCAGGAAACTGGTGCATGCTCACCGCCGCTCCGGATCAGGCTAGCATGTCTTCAGGGCTAAAGTGCACCTTGGAATTGTCACATAGCTTTAGGCCTTATTGAGCGCACAGATGGTTATCAGAAAATGACCAGCGGCTTCAGACAGAGAAGAGGCTATGATCAGATCATCCGATTCAGCTGCCTAATATCAACGGGAATATTTTAATCTTAGGTTAAGTTTTGCGCTTTAAAGTAATAGCAACACATAAAATGTGTCTATTATAATGAAGAGCAGCGCAGAAACACATCACTATTAAGATATGAATAGAGTCAGACTGGATCAGTAATTTAGCTTGGAGAGCATGGTGCTCAGCACCACAGTGAAGATCTGTTTTAATTGGACTGAAGGCTCCACCCCGGGGAGCGGAAGGTGGGGGGATGTGATCAGTTAATTCAAGCAAAGCTCCAGGAAAGCAGCCCGGCCTGTGACCAAATATTTACTCACAGAAATGAGACAGAGGATTTCTCAGGTCCCCCACCCCAGACAATACAGACAAAGAGACATTTGACACGGGGGCAGAACCGGGCTTGAAGCCTGGGGCGGGTCACTCAAGCCAGCGCGCCGGCCCTCCACCTGGCACCGGTGAAATCCGAGCTCCGTCCCGCCGACAAGGAGCTGAGCGCAAAACAAACAGGCTGTGGGGGGGGGGACCTCGTGCCGGTCACAGGTCACTGCTGCCTGGCCCTGGGGCAGCGCTGAGAGGCAGACGCCCATCCCGCTGGGGGGTTGGGGGGCAGCACAAACACACACACACACACACACATACACCCCCCTCAGGGCTCGGAACAGTGCCGACACCACAGGTCTCCCCACCCACGCCGCCCAGTCTCTTACATTCAGATATTTGTGTACAGAACAGAAACGAACGATCCGATGGCAAACGAATTTGAAAAAGCACTTGGCTGCTTGCGAAGGCGTCCATCATGCATGACAATCCCACGAGGCTCAGTGCAAACCCAGGCTCATTCACGGCCTTTTATCAAACACAGGTGAAACATGCAGAAGCGGGTGAAATGCAAAGAAACCCCCCCCCCGCCCGCGCCTCCGAGGGCACGTGTGATGGGAGGGGCGCAGAGAGCTGCTTTTCACCTTTGCGTCTTCGTTCACGTCCCAGGTGAAGGACACGGCGTTGTAGGCGATCTCCTCGATGTTGCCGATGGTGTTGAAGCTCTCTTTGTAGTCAGCTGTGAAGAGCAGAGAGGAACAGGCGGCTTCTCTTAATAAAACGTGCTGCTGATGGAGTGAAGCTGCTATGAAGTTTGCATAGGATTCTGCTTCGTGAACATCAGGGGTATCAGGGAACGTTATTTTTAGGCATCCAACAAAACAACAGCCAGCTACTAAAGGGTTTTAAAAGTCAAATAAACCTCTTGTGCCTTGTGATCAAGTTAGATAAGATTGACTTAGATAAGAGTTCCCATAAAAGCAATAGACACATGTAATCTCTTAAAGATAATGCGTTTTGGTAAACAAACAGGACTCCTTCAAAACATCTGTATGGTAAGAGAGTGAAAATCAATCCACTATGCAGAATTGTGAATGAACCTCTCTCTTCTGTCTATTGTTAAAAATCGACAGCATGAATCTTCAGCAGAATTCTTGCAAATTTTAAACAGCTACGCTAATTAATTCTGCCGTTCGCGTTTTAATCGGTTTATATTTTGAACATGTGCTTAACAACATGTCATCGACTAGACTGCAAGATCCACAACACCATGCGTTTCATTTTACAGCACCATGTGACTCTTCTGGGATGAGGCATTGTTGGCATTGTAGTCTTTTCGGGGTGATCTGACGCCCCGTCCAACATGGCAGCACCAAGCAGGCCGGGAACAGTGATGTCAGCCATGGTGGCCGGGACGCAGCCAGGCTGGCGTTTCGTGGGGGGGGGGGGGGGGGGGGTGGGCCGCTGGCTCTCGGTCTGTGTTAAACAGCCCTATTCAAATCCTGGATCCTATGACATGTCCTGAGGCGTTCGGTGTAATCAGGGCTCAACTGCTATTCAAATCAATGCTGGAGTGTCGGGTTTCACTTCCTGCAGGCCTGTCTGAGCCGCTTTGTGCCGCCATATGCTTTCCAAGGGTCCGTGTCACAAAGACGAGCCCCTCTGCACCTCTGGGTCACCCCAGTATGGCCTGGCTCCGCAGCTGTCTCCCCCCTGCTATGATTACACTTCATCTATTCCTATAGAGTAGACAGGTGTCACACTATAAGGCAAAGGTGTGGCTCAGTCCATCTCAGAGACGATTCAACGGGGGGGGGGGCACTCTGAGAAAATTCACTTTGAAGCTGTGCAGCAGGTAGCCAGGCCAGAGGCATCCTGCAAAGGGCCGCGATGATATGTCCACATCTCTAACAAAGAGTGGCGATCTCCTCACGGTTTTTAAGCAGAAAGGAAATCTCATGAGTGCATTTAGAACTATTCTGGCCTGCATGGGTCTGGAGTCCACATGGGAGAGAGGGAACTGACAGTTAAATAAAGTTATTTCAAAACAACTTTAGAAGCCCAAAAGCTACGAAGAACTAGAACTCCTGCTGTTCACTGGCGCCTCAAAGGACTCTGGGAAATTCCTCTTTCTGTCCATACAAGTCACCCCCCCCCCAGCATGTTCCCACACATCCACCTGCATCTGTGCAACACACGAGTAGCAACTTGTCGGACACCGAATATCTCAGAGATACTTTCCTGACTCACGAACACCGCCTTTGAATACCGATTATCAGTAAACAAACACCCTGAATGCTGCCCTTTCGCTTTTTGTTTTTTTTCCTGTCAGCCATAGAACTGTCAGTGAACTGCAACAACGACGACGACGACAAACCTGTGAGCTCCGCACAGGCCACACCCACCCCACAGAGTCACAGCCAGGGGCTTGAATGCACCGTCCACTGATCAAAGCCGCTCTCGTGCAATAAAAGGAGCACAAGCCTCACTGCTGATTACTAAACAGTTTACTACCATCATTATCAACATCATAAAAGAGACGGATGGGAAAATAGGACGCCAGTCCCCCACCCAGTTAGAAGGGACAATAAAATGTGATCATTGGGAGAGAGACAGACCTCAGATCAACAGAGGCAAAATGGTTGTACTATAAGGGATTGAGCAATAGTGATTTCTGCTTGGTGAGAAATGAACTGAGTAGTTCCCTGTTACAGGTTACATGGTGCATATCGGAGATGCTTAACCATTCATATAACCACAACCTGCCTGTTACGCCTAGAGGCATCGCGGCTCTTTACTACACACTGTGACATCAGGGCTTCCACACACACACACACACACACACACACACACACACGCCCATTAATCACCGAGCCAGCAACTGGAGATCCAGCGTGTCTCACTGACCAGACCCAGCAGTCTTACCGATGTCCAGGACCCGCTGCTTGGCCGTGTGCTGCCGGCTGTGCCAGTATTTCCAGTATTTCAGCTGTTCATCCCGGTTCTTCTCTGGACTGAACACCACCATGATCACGCTCTGGGGGGGGGGAATGTTACAATACAGTCATCACAATGGGTGGGCAGAGTGGGCGAGTCTGTTTGCGCTCACATCGATCTCAATGTGTCTTTGGCCTCACTCTTCTGGACACTAATTTCTTCTACTCAGGAGCATCATAAAAAGACTATTCCAAGGGCCCCTGAGCGACGGGGACTGTAAAACATTTGGAATGTACTGGATTGGTATGGCTAGGGGCTCCGTGTAATATACTCTCATGGGGGCCCGAAATCTCTCTCTGCTTCCACTGAATTGCCGGGTGTAGGTAGAAAGTTCAGGAACAGTGTGAAAGCAACCAACTTACAGATTTAATTAACAATTTAACAATTTGTCATTTTGCCCAGAACTAAGACTCAACTTGGTTTTATTTAGTATTTATTCTGAAATGGTCATTAGACTTTGACATGCCCTTCCCACAATGCACCGCACAGCACTGGCCTTCCCACAATGCACCACTCACCCTGACTTTGCTGATAGGGTGACGCAGGCCCTTGTTGGCACTGGTCTCGCTCAGGGTCACTGCATAAAACTGGCCCTTGTTCAAATAGGTCATGGGCGCCTCTCGCTGCTTCTGTCGCAGTGACTTAGTGGCATCCAGCACGTACTGGAAGGTGTCTCTGAAATGGAGGTGCGTTCCACAAATGTTTAATTCGGCGTGGGAGCAAATGGGCCTCTTTGGAGGTGCTCGGCATCATGGGAAGCCCCGTCCATGTCGCGAGGCAGAACGGGGTCGCGGACGGTTGACTTACATGCCTGACTGGTCGTGGACAAAAGCATCAGCACCCAGGACTGATGACGGGCAGAACTTCTGTTTGCAAACATAACAAGCGCCGTGTGAACCAAGGAGCAACCAGCGAGATACACAACGAGATATTAAGCGGTCACATGACCAGGAAACATTTAATGTCAGCGTCCAGGGGCATAGGAACCAGGACGACGGGGGGAGTGTGTACTACCCAATATTTAATTTGGCTTCATTCACTCCCCTCCCCCAAAAAACAGAACTTTACATTTAAATTATTAAGTGTCCTTCTCAATATCAAATTCTCTCCTACGCCCTTGTCAACATCTAACGCACAACATCTCAGACGTCTGGCCGGGCACAGAAACCTGAAATGGTAGGGTGTCATTGTGCCTGAATCCCAACCCCCATCCCTCGACACCCCTATCGGGCGCTCAGGTCTCCCCCGCTTCCCACCGCGAGCCCCAGGCAGCCCCTCACCTTGCGCTCCTGCTCGTAGGTGCTGTCTGGGCTGCCTCTCTGCTCACCTTTGCAGTACGCTCCCTGATACCCAGGTGACACGCTGAAGGGGCTGACGTCATACCCACGGGCATGCCCCTCCCCCGGCAGCCTGTAGGGGGCGTACGGCTCGGTCTTCAGCAGGGGTCCGGGCGCGGTGCCGCCGGAGCTCCCCGCGTAGGGGTCTCGCTTCACGTCCGGGTGCTCAGAGTTCAGCGACAGGTTGACGGGAACCGTCTTCAGCACCTGGACGCGATTGTTGGGCGCGTCCAAAGCCATGTGGCTGGTGCCAGCGTCCAGTCCGCTCCTGCGAGGGACGCACAACAGCGCTGAAAGGCAGGATGTCGTTCCCATAGCAACGCCTATCGCACCTTTCACTAACGTTATATGTCTCTGCAGATAAACACCCTGGAAGCACTAACCTTTTCTCATGCTCTTCTGGGGACTCAGCCCCTTTACTGTTGGAAAGTAGCCGCTTATCCTTAGGAACCTGGGAATCACATGCACACAATGCAGAATGCAGATAAGTTTGTGTGTGTATCCAACGATGGACCAGTAGGGTGTCTCCCAGTCTTGCACCCTATGCCCGCAGGCCCCACCATGACCTTGACCTGCTCTGTATTGCTCCAGTCACCGCGACATCATGGATGGTTTAGGGGCTTCTACAGCGATTAACTGCCGCATCAGACTGAGATAACGGGAAAACCCATGGAAGGCCAGTGCTATGCTAGCCATTAGCAAAGATGCTAAAGCAAGACTGCTTCAGCGAAACCAGTCCGAGGTGTGAGCTCTGTCAGTCTACAGAGTCACGTGACTTTACCCGGACAGCTGCCCCGCCCCCAGAGCGACCACTCACCTTATAGTAGTCGTAGAGCAGGCCGAGGGCCGCCACGCTGTCCTCATCACCATTGATGCTCATCATGGCTTTGGTGGCAGCTGTCAGCGGGTTCTCCAGATAGGTCTTCCAGGCCTCATCCTCGCTGGTGTAGATCCTCTGTGGGTGCAGGGACACCTCATTTGGGACCACCACCACCAGCCGCCTGCTGAGAAACAGATAGACCCGGTTACACCAGTGTGCACTAACCCCCCCCCCGCCCAACAACACACAATCCAAGCTTCCATGTATTGAGTGTTAGCGTAGCATACGCCATGTCTGTACGGCCACCTTTTAGTACAGCTGTAAAGATTATTCCTACTGTCTCTTTGGAAGCTCTTGAATCTAGCTGACAGCTGTATGCTTGAGCTGTGTAATCTTGTAAGTCGTGTTATAGATGAAACTCTGCTAAATAAGTTCATGTACATGTAATAAGTTCACGTGCTTAAAAAAAAAATGGTACAACCTTTATCGAGGGGTCATAACAAAACACCGTAAACACTCACTTAAATTTATCTGTTCCCCAAGAAACTGAGACAAGATCTGTGACTCACGCTCACACCAATGACCGCGAGCCGCCCCGCCAGCAAAGTGGGGGGGTCTGTTTGCGCTCACATCTACCATGCGGGTCGAGCAGGGCCATGCGGGTGCCATGTGACCTGTCAGGCGTGGCGTGTTTACCTCTGCGGCCGTTTCCCAGCTTGGCCATCAAAAGGGGCAGCGGGAACTTGAGAAGCAGAAGTCAACACCTGTAGAGCAGCGCTCTCGCCAGTGTGCATACAACATGATATCTCTCCGTGTCTGCGTGTGCGCCGATCCTTACATCATCTCCCATGTGCTGTGGGATCCGCTCTCTCCATCTATCAACAACCCCTTTTCAGATCTTACAGAGCCACACGCTTCTGCTGCTCATTCCTTACACCTAAAGTAACAGTTGTTCTTCTTCTCACTGCGGCTAACGTAAATCGGAATGAAGGATAAGCCCTGCCTGTTAAAGTTACCCCTAGACCCTCACCCAGGGCATTACAGAATCTGCACCTGCAGGATACATGGCCGGGGGTGAAGATCAAAGTCTAAATGGACCCCTGTGATAAGGCCTCTCCCAGAATCCTACAGAGCCTCACATACAAACGACCCAAACCAACTCGAGACGACAGGTTTTGGAAAGTCCGAGTTGTCAGTGCCTTGCTGGTGTTGGCCGAAACAGACCCAAATATTGAGACGCATTAACGCGCATGCGTTTGCTGACTGGCGCGAGTATGTGTAAAAGATGACTGAATCACTCATATTTCAGTACAAACACATGACACGCGTGTGAGATGTATTTACGGGTGTGTCTGAAGCCGTGTTGATGTGCAATACATCATCTAAATCCTGAAGCTGTAACTGAAAAACAGTAGGTGTTTTTGAAATAAAAAATAAAGGAAAAATAACAAAGAAAGTTAAAAACTACCTTCAGATCGCTGAGTCGAAATATGAGCCTAATCTAATTTTTTAAAATTTAAGCTTCAAGCACTGAAAGACAAACCAATTAAGCAGGTAATAAACACAATGTTTACCAAACAGCTCATTATCTAACTAGAATTTATTAAAGCTATACTTTATGTTGTGAAATAATACATTTCACAAAGCAAAGTAGGTTAAATAACAACGACAATTAAGCAATATATTATAAAATGCTATGTTTATTTGACAGAAGTCACACTTTCATTCACATCGGAATGTTTTAATATTAACAAGCTTCGATCTTAAGAATTAAAAGCTTAAAAACTGCTTTTTTCCACTGCCAAATAAATTAAATAGCCTACAAATGTACACCCACCATAACCGGGGGAGCAAACGTAGTAAAATCGAATCTACATACAGGATCGCATATCGGGTGAATACGGATATTTGGCCGCATTGCTAATTGCAAGATTTTCCCCGCATCGCCTCTGAATTAATGTAATAAACTCTGTAAAAGAAAAAGGATTGTGGGACACTAATATACATTTGTAAAAACTTTTTTGTGCTTATAATTTTATTGTAAACATTTTACGGTCTATATTTTATCGTTATTAATCAACAATTGGCAGTATTCAGGATAATACAAACGGATGCCAGGGCGGAGTACACACCTACACCAGAACCATGCGCCATCACTCACCTGTCCGGCTCCTGTGACATATCTCGCTCTGTCTCCAATTTTCGCCCTGAAACTGGACTTTCAAGTCGGTGCAGATGCTGTTGCTGTCGCAGAGATGCCGCAGCGAAGCCGGGATACAGGTAATACCGCTTTTTAAGCTCAGACCAGTCTTTGCAAAGAGCCCGAGCCGCACGGCTTTGCCGCCCACCCCATAGAAATGTACAGTTTTATGTGCAGTACCGACACCCAGACACTAACCCAAAATGTCCCGGTCAGGCGCCCATGCACCCCGCCGGCGGATCGCGAACAGACTCAGGATTCTTTCACAGAGCATTAATTAAGATAATAGGAAAGACGGGCTGAACTTTGATTGGCTGAAACTGGTTGAACCGGCAGTACTGATTGGCTGTGGGAGCGCTGGTGAGACCCGCCTTACCTGCAGGTACGGACTTTAGGTGGTTCCTTCTCACAAACAAACGGGGTTTTGGGATGTTTTCGGGGCAAACGGCCGGATCGTTAGCGCCCTTCAGAGTGCGGATCATTACCGCGTTAAACAGGAGACTATAACTCTCAGCTCCAAGTCTTTTGTTGGGCTGCTTAAGGCACTAAATATTAAAGGTCTTTATACTCCATTTTTCAGTTTTGGACAAACTGCCAAATGCTGAATGGTGTCTGTCCTCAATAGCTATATACACTCATGCTTGATATAACAGCAAATATGCATTTTTCAGGTTAGCATATAAGTATGTGATGACCTGAAAGTCAGTTCAACACGGTCCGCTAAATAGATAAATGTAACCGTGGAGCGTCATTGAAGAGTGACGGTAGATCTGCGGTCTTTTCCCGTGTGAACGCGTAGGTGTTGACAGTTTGTGCCAAACGCCTAACGGAAATGCCCCCGCAGCCAGTCACACGGCTCGTGTGAGTCCAATCATGGGAAAGCAAGCTTTTCTTTGTCGTGAGGTCTTTATGGGGTTCGCGAAACGTTCGCATGAACTTAACATGCAGGAGTGTGCGTTAGCATGACTGAAGGAGGTGGTACGAAGAAAACCAGAGCAGTTTCACGTAAGGGAAAAACAAAACAGTTTGGGAGCTTCAGCCAAAGTGCACAGTGTTGACTGTTGTATTACTCTGTCATCTGTGCAGCTAGATTATTAGATTATAAATTGGGAGAAACACAGTCACCTAAAGTGATTTTTGTAGAAATTACATTATAAAAATCAGACTTCAATATTCAATTTCCAAATAAAATGTTTGTTTTTTCGTCTGCAGGCCTGGTACCGAACAAGGGCGTAGGTTTGGTTTCAACACCAAATCAGTCCTGAACCAAATTAATTGGTAGAGACACCCATACCAAAATTTACACCATTGGTACTGGATAAGCAATTGGAAGCTGCATAGATGGATGGATTTTTCGTTATTTTTTCAGTTCCGTTTCCATCGATCTGCTCCATCTGTATCCGTTTGTTTGCACTGTCCCTTCCTGCCTCTCTTCTCCCTGTGTCTTTGTCACCCCCTACATGTCATGCAGGAATCGGACGGGGCCCCTTTTGGCTTAAGGGTGAGTCAGTTTCCCCTGTCGGCAACCTGAGCATTGCTTCACTTCTTGGCTATAAGGTGATGATTTGGCTGCATGTGTTTCCCCAGTGATATAGGAACCTTCATCGATATAGATATAAAAATGCACAGCAAAGCTCCCCGCAACATCCGTTCAGGTTCTGCCGCTCCGTCCCCCGCCGCTCGTCATCGGAAACCTGAAGAGGGCGCCGCAGGCCCGACACGTCATGAGGGAAGGTACGTGTCTGGGCACAGCAACCTGTTTGGCTGGCAACACTCGTTCAGTGTGAGCGCTGGGGGCTCAGGCAGGCACTGTGGAACGGGCAGAGAGGTACATAACCCCCCCCCCCCCTGCATTCCATTGGAGTAGCCTTCAGGAGGGGACAGGGGACAGCTCCACAAGTCAGTACAGTTCCTACGGCAGTGAGCGTCCTTGTGAATGACGGTCAGACCGCACTCTGGCGGCCCGTGAGGCTCCGGTCTGAGTGCGGTTTGCGGTTTGCGGTTTGCTCGAGCCGTCGGCCGCGTCCCCGTGACTTTTTCAACCTGTTTCACAAGAATGTGCGACGGCGGGCAGAACGAAACAGATGACATCAGGCGTCACAGAAAGGAACGGCTTGTTCTAATGTCATGTCAAAGGGAGGAAAGGCCTTTGCTCTTCCTCTGAGGTTCCAGGTTCCCTACATCCCCAAACAAAATAACCATCTTGAAGACAGATACCTCCCCTAACAGAAAAATGAAGATTGCCTCGGAGTTGATTTTGGACTGACCTGTTGGATGATGAAAACAAATTAAGTGCCTCAAGTGCCCTGTAGCCTTACTGGTTTTACTGGCTCTTACAAAACAGCCTGAATGGAGAGGCACGGACTGCCTTCTTTTTCCAGAATGTTCTGGAATTTTTTGTCAGTTACAAACTGTCTATGTACAGCAAACAGCCATGGAAAACAGCCCATATCCTGCAGCTATATTCACTATCAGTTTCTGTCATTTGAAATATGTAGGTGCAGAGATGGTTACCGTTGGGACCTGACTTTCAGAAACCTCCACGGTGAACGAGACACCTCTCGGGAAAGCGAGTCCGCAGATTAGGTGGGTGTGACTTTCCTCAAGACATTTTGAGTCATTGTTCCCGAGTGAATGGTGTCATTAAGTAAGAGGTAGGTCTTAAGAATGCAGGGTGTGGCTTACTTTACTCAGAGGTCAAAGGTTATCGCAGTAGTGAGGGACCAAGGCCTACAGTGGGGGGCACCGGGCACCTACCAGCTGGTCACAAAAACTTGCTTTTAAATAGGCACTGTAGAGACATTTCCACATTTAAAGTGTGAATTTTCAACTATAGCTGGTCTAATAAATGCTTTGATGGGCTGGCGAAAGTTTAATAGTCCTGATTTTGAGGATGGACAGTTTGACCTTGTAAAGGGAGATCGGCTTTGTAAAATGAGTAGCATGGAGCAGGCACTGTGTTCAAGACACTAGGGATATTGGTGAATACGGTCCCCTCTCCCTTGGGCAAGGCGACTCACCGCCCCCCAAACTGCGGTCCTTTGGATAAGACTAGTAAAGTCCGCCGGATCAGGTACGGTTTTGTTTACATTTACGTTGTTCTTCCATTTTTCAGAATTATACTCAAATATGTGACAGCAAACGATAGTTGTTTTTGTTTATATTGTGTATTTATTTGTTCGGCTTGACTGGCTGTTGCTGTGCTGTGATTAAGCAGGTGACGCAGCTACCATTCTGAGCCCAGGGAGGGTCACCCTGAAGAGGGTGTTACCTCACTACCACGATGGCAAATCTCCTCCGTTTTGCTCCAGCTTCTCTTAGTATCTTACATTGTTTATGATCAGTAGCATGATTTGCAAGCCCTAAAACATTATCAGGCAGTGTTGTAATGTGAAAGATTTGCCGCTTATCTGGTGATTGGTATGTAAACAGTCAGCTAATACCCAACTGTCCCTGCAGGATGGCTCCGGGGGGGCGGCTGCATGCTGAGGCTGGTCGAGAAGCTTTTTAAGTGCCGTGGGGATGGAGGCTGTTTCATGTCGTCCGTGACGTGATGTGGTGTCACACTACCATGTGATGTTCTAGTAAAATGATCATGCCATCCCAAATGCGATACCAGAGGCAGGAACTCCGAGGTGTGTGGCTGCCCTCCTAAAGAGTGCACCATGATAAACCTTCATAGGAAATATGATAAAGAAATACTCTGAAGAATGTATAAAATTATAACCTAAGTGAAAATGTGCATTCTGTTATTTGAAAATATTGTTACTTTAAGACTCTTGTTGGGACAACTATATTATAAATGTCCTGAAATTAAAATATGGATTTCACTCATCCACAGAAGCCGTGCTTAAAAACACAAAAAAGTTATTGTAGAGCAACTATTGAGGTTTCCATGACGTCTTCGCGATATTTTATCTATTATGCATGTGACAGCCGTTACAAAGAACAACGAATGTATTCCCGCCAGAAGTGTCTTATAAAAATGATAACTGATTTTTACGTCGAAGTTGAAATATCTGACACACCCATTGTTTGGCAGGAGTGGTGGATAAATTGGGCCGTTGCCGTGAATTGGGTTGTTTTGCTCTGTGGTGTGCAGCTGCTGCACTCCAAGCCAGTAGGGGGCGTGCTCATTCTCTGCACAGATTTAGCGACTGTGTTCTTTTTCACTACTGGGATCAGCTACATCTATGTAAACTGTGCCACACATACCTGAAATGTATGTAAATCTCCCAAAGGATATTAGTAATAACATTATAAATATGCATTTTAATATATATTGATATATATTCATGGATCTATGGCCCTGAATAGGTTAAATGTTTAGAAAGTGCATGCATGGATCAATAACTGGTTAGAAGAATTGATGACTCTATATTGAATTAATGGATGGATGGATGGAAGCAGAGGCATCGAAGGATATAGATACCCTGTCAGATTCAAGGGGCCCAGCACTCGAAAATTTACCATCGGGGGCCCGCTCGGCAAATTCTGCTGAAGGAAACCCTCCCTCTTGCTCAGCAAATAATATATTTTGACCGTTCCTCAACCCTTACATAAGTCAAAATGTACATACGTCATTCAACGTAGTCTACCCTAACCTACCCCAGCCTCATCTACCCTAACCTACCCCAGCCTCATCTACCCTAACCTANCCCAGCCTCATCTACCCTAACCTACCCCAGCCTCATCTACCCTAACCTACCCCAGCCTCATCTACCCTAACCTACCTCAGCCTCATCTACCCTAACCTACCCCAGCCTCATCTACCCTAACCTACCCCAGCCTCATCTACCCTAGGCTAACCTAGCCTAGCCTAGGCATTTGTTGCAAACAAAGACATTTAAGAAATTACACATTTAACATACCGGTAATTTTCTAGTAAATGTCAGACATATTAAATTTGGTAATAAGACATAGGCCAAGTCAATGAAATTAATTTGATTAAAATACTGCATTAATTAGAATAGATGTGTTCATGGCACAAGACTTGTGCTACAGTAGTAGGAAGACTATTCCATTTCTCCAAGCATATGTCTTTGCAGGGTGTAGTAGCAGGTGTATCGAAAGGTTAGTCGGCATGTTGAAAGGTTTGTGGGCGTGTCAACAGGAATAGAGTGTAGCAAAGTGGGTGAAACCAGGCAAGTATTTTCCTTTTCTGGAAGTATGGCAATAAGTGTAAACAAGTGCAGGAAATGTCTTACGCCAGGGTTATTCAAATCATGGTCCTCGAGGTCCGAGCACTACTGGTTTTCCAGCCTTCCTTTACCTGTCAGCCAGGTGTGAAGCCTCTGACCAATCAGAATCAGTAATTATTAAACTAACTACCTGGGGGAACTGAAAACAAGGCCTGGATTTGGATTCGAGGTCCAGATTTGAAAAGCCCTTTCTTATGCTATATGAAGAAATATGAAACAGGTATTCAATTACAGATGTCTATTAATCATAGTCATTGCCTAACCGGTCTATTTCTGAGATAATGCTTATTGACAGCATTTTCAGCTAATAGAAAACATTTCGACACACCCTCCTTTCGATGCTCCCCCGGCTCTACCCTCCAGACACTCATGGTGCTCCTTCTCCGACCCTGGTGTGACATCGCCATCTAGTGGTCTTTTTTGAAACATAACCCCAGTGTGAGAGGAAGGTGATTCAGCTTAGGAGAGGCTGTTATGTAACCTAACCACTGGCCGCTTTCCATATCTGCTGGTTTCTACGCGTTTGCACTTTCAGTATTGATACTGTGTTTTTGTTGTCTTATTTAATGTGCTGCATGGAATATGCCCCGTGCAGCTGCATGTGACTCCTCCGATGGACCATCAGTCAAAAGCAGAGGGTCCTTCCCTGGTACTACAGTGCAAGGCACAGACGTTTCAGTCAGTGCTCCCTACAGAGCTACCATGGGAGGAGCACTGCCTGGCCTGAGGTTCATCATCAGTCTGGAGGGTCATTCCCAGTCCGGAGGGTAATCCCTAGTCACCAGGGTAATCCCCAGGTGAGGGGAGCAAATCTAGCACATTGTGCAGTCTTGCAGGTTTTCTTGCTTGATAAGCTGGGACTCACACTTCAGGAAAAAAACGTGCATCATTTCATAATAATGAGTTTCATTGTTTCCTGGCCTCGGTGTCATTCTCAGCCTCTGGCAGAGTCTCATTTCCCCAATTTAACGACCAATACCTGTTAATATCCATCAATACCACCAGTGGGCTGCCCGTGCATCAGCCTGAGCTCCGCTATTGTAAGCTGTGAAACAAGCAGTTTACCTCCTACCAGTTTAACCAGTTTAACCTGTTCTTTAGGAGCACATACCTGCAGAAGCATTTTGGGTCTTGAAACACTGAAAAGGGTGAAAAACAGTATCATACCAGATGCTATGAAAAGTGAGATAAGAATTCATAGTGTAACCTCATCCTGCAGCTAATGCCTGATGTTCCTTAATTTATCCGGCAGAATGGAGCTTCTTTGGATAATAGCAGCATTTCAAACGGACCGCCGGGTGGCTTTGCATGCAGTCCTGTCCTCCACTTTGTTTATTCCCTCCCACTTTACACAAGATTCATCCCGTGGCCCAAAGACTTGGAGCAGGGTAATCGTTCACCTATATCTCACCATGTCTTTGTGAGATGGTGTGTGACATTTGAAGTTTGCTGTGTCTATCCTGCCACGTGCTTTGTACCGTCCTGAGTAGTTTTCCACCGGCTGCAAGCCTGATTGGATGGACAAATGAGTGAATTGCAAATTATGGAGCTCTTCCCCCCCCCCTGGGGAGCAACATTAATGAGTCTGTAACTTCAGGGCAAACAGTGCAATGTTCAGGGCCCAAGTCTTACAGATTACAGTAAGATTTTACATATTTGAATTAAGTTTTGGAGGAGGTTACTATGGGTGGTCGCTGGAATGGCAGCAGCAGAGGGTGGACACTGGAATGGCGGCGGCAGAGGGAGGAGATTGGATTGGCTGCCTAGGATGTGGAACTAGATTTCTTTCTCCACTTTTGTAGGGCAATATTTAAACATGAATGATACAGAAAAAATATTTTGGATATGTTCAGGCCTCTTTGGTTCAGTATTAATTCTCTTCACCATCTATCACCACGCAATAACCCTGGATTCCTATGTAACTCTTAAAGTCATCATCCATGTCCAAGTTTTTGTGTTCTTATAACGATAAAACTTTGAGCAGAAACTGAAGAATACTTGTGTAGTTTGGCAAATGCTTAGAGTTTCTTTAGGCGTGTCAGTCAGTTGGAGCAAACAGGCCCTGGCTGCCGGCCAACAGGAATGGAAACCTTTCCTTCCTTAGTGACCTTTCCTCATTAAATAACAGCAAGTTCATATATATTTAATTACCTTTACATATCCGCACTTAGATCAGAGCAGTTAGGACACAATTAGCAGCTCTGCAAATTGAAGCTGGTTAGCATAGGTCTGCACAGAAAACATGAAATAAAATCTCCCTGTGGATCAGACTCCAAAAGGACAAAAATAGTACCGCTGTAGCACAAACTGTGCATCCACTGATCAGATTTACAGTCCACATTGCTGGCCTTTAAAACCAGTGAAACCGGTTTCCTTCATGGGCCTTCAGTCTTACTTTAATTGTATTTCTGTTGTACTTTTTACTGGGGAATGTGCATTTTGGAAATTACTGGCCATATAAGTATGGGAAAACTGCAACATACCAACAGCAGAGGTTCATGAGGTTCTGTTTCACTCAGAAGTAAAACAGCATTATTCAGATTCCTTTTTTCAATGAATTAATGATCGTAGTTCGTTTACCACCCACCATCGCCACCTCGTGGCGTAATGATGTACGGACGCATGAAAGACTCCGAATGGGAATAAAATCGAATGAACATGAAATATAATTCATTTAATTAACAATACGTTTTTAAAGGGGAGCCCCCACCCAGAACTAAAAATATTTAAAGGGGATTTCCATCTCTAAGGTACAGCGGACAAGATCACAGATTTCACAGGGGGCGTATGACCAGGCTGGGAAGGTTTGTTGTGCCAGCCACTCCCGAAAGGTTTTGCATATGAACCGCTCTCACTCTATCGCCACTTTCTTTGCTGGGTTAGTGACTATGGTCAGTGAAACAGAGCTCCTGCTCGGCCGGCCACGGGCACCGCTAAACAAAGGAAGTGAATGGGGGAATACATGATGAGAGTGAATGAAAGGCGGGCGGAGGGAAAAGCGCGCCGCGGGTCGCGTTTTCAGCGCGCCGAACGTCAATCAGCGGTTGCCTTGGTAGCGCTTGACGTAAGTGTCCCTTGCCCTGCCCCTGCTCGTCGGGCTGATGATCTGAGGGAAACCCCGTGGATCGCGGAGCTAGACTGACAGAGCCGGAGTCAGCTGTGTGGCCAGCGCGAGGAGTCCTGCCGTAGCACGCACAGGTAGGACGCGGTCCGGTCCCGTGTCGCCTGCAGGCGCGTCCCCGCCGCCGCCGCCGCCTCTTCATCATGTCCTCCTTATCTTCATCCCGTCCTCCTCTTCCTCCTGTAATGTCTCACCTCGCTTGCTCTTCCTCTCGGTGAGCTCGGTGTAGAGCAGTAGGTGTGCGGCGGTGGCTCGGCTGTGCCGCAGCCCGTCAGTCCGCCGTTGCCTCGTTCCACCGGTTCGGTGTCGGTTTATCCCGCTTTTGAGATTCCTTCCCGTATGGAACGTTTCGACTGGGCGTCGGTCCGATATTGGCTCTGACTGACTCAGCTGGAGCTGGTATTCAGGGACGGCTCGATTAGCATCCCGAGCCCTTAAAAGGTGCAGTGGTTCCAGGGGTCGGGTAGCCACGGGTGGGCGGTGTGACAGACCCTCTTTTAGGGCGTTTACAGACAGCGGGCCGCCGCCCGAACTGTAGCAGGGCGGCACGTAAGCTGTGGCCGGAATGGGCAGGGCCGAACCGTGCTGGGCGGCTGTGCGCTGGCCTCCGCAACCGGTGCCGCGGTTTTCCCGAGAAGCCAGTTTAACCTCAGCGGGTTTCCCCGACCTGCGGTCACTGGGCGGCTGGGTAGTTGTATGCGAGCCTGTAGCCGGCCAGCGGCACTTTAGAAATGACCTCGTATAAAGCGAATTAACTTCTCAAACGCTGTCCGCACGAGGGGAGTCGGCTCTGGGCTGGACACCGACGCGCGACTCTGCCCCGGGCGGCGTGACAAGGCGCGGCCCCCCGCCTACAGGTTGGGTCAGGTAGCGCCAGGCTCTGGGTGTGGCCGAGGCCGCGCAGGTACAGACGCTGCCAGCTCACCGAATTTCTGCTTTAACACTTTTAGGATTGGGGGGGGTGGGGGAAATCAATTTTATAAAGTGTATTTTGTAGTTTTCCAGACCCTTTAGGCGAGTTCGATTATAATGTGATCTTGGGTTACAATGTATTGGCACTAAACTTAATTTTCGCACGTAGTCCTCTTTTTGTTACGACGAGTAAACGATCCCACGGGTAAATTTAGAAAAAAATAAGTTTCGGTTTGACACATCTGGCCACAGCAAACGTATCGCCCGCATTGTGTCCATGTGGGTTAGACAGCCATGGCGGGATTTTAGGACTGACGGATGTGCGTATTGCCAGGTTAAAACTGCTCTGGGCGACTGATCGTGATGGAGAATAAGGATTGATTGTACATGGCGGGGCATTGCTGATTAACATTACTGGTGATGCCTCGAGGCTCTTCTGCATGATGCAAGTAGGGAAGTGTTACTGGCTTACTGTAGTGCGTGTGTGGCTGTAGTTGTCGGTGCTGCGTATTGCCTTATGAAGGTGCTACAGACTAACTGGTTAGGAGAATAATCTTTATTGTCATTGTACATGTTCAGTGAAACTGTAGTTTAAGTTAAAGCTGGTAGGACAATGTTTGCTGTGTGCTTTAAAACAGGACAGCTAATAATTTGAAGTTGCTAATGTTCTTTTATTCTACTAGTTGTTTGATTTACTTAACTAAAAGGGAGACATCTTTTGTGTTAAAGGTATAATCTGTGACGGCCACTGAGGGAAAAGAAGTAGATGCAGTTCTAAAATGCTGAATGTGTTAAAACAATCTCTTAAGGAAATATTTGGGTGCATTTTAGTTAAAAACTGAAGGCCCTTCGCAGGGGACAAGGTGACAGTGAGCAGCGTGTCTGTCTGGGGACTCCAGGTGCAGGAGGGGAATTTTGCAGAACTCAGCATGTAATCACCCCCCCCCCCCTCCCATGAGTAACAGATTGAGCTGCAGTCCCCAGATTTACTTAAAGCATAGATACATCAGTACATTGGAAGACGAAGGGCCCATCCTTGTTCCATAGCATTTTTTTTCTCATTTATTTTTTTTCCTGTGTAATACATTATGAAGGATTAAAAATTCTAACTTGAATAAACCTGTCCATCCAGTTTAACCTATTGGTTGAACAATGACCCAGATTTAGACTAAAGTTTTTTGAGACCCCAGACCTCAGACAAACATTTTCTGAGGAATGGCTTTAAATCCCCAACCTCCCTCTGATGTGATACATCCAGGAGGTTTTCAGTAATCTTTGCATCCAACAGACGATAAAGATTAACCTGTATTCAAAAATTTTCATGAGGATTTCTTGCTTTCTAAATGTCCAAAAAAAGGAATTTATCGCTCAGTCACTTTTGTAGTTCACAGCAACTGTTACCTTGTAGCTCATTTTGTTCTCTAACGTGATTTTGAAATGTGTGAGATATGAGGCTGAAAGTTGTTTAATTTTAATTTTGGTCAAATCTATTAATCATTCATGTCCCATCTGGGCTACCCGGTCATTTTTATCTGAAGAGAGAACACAAACTTGAACGACGTGTTGGTATATGGTTTATCTAAGTCTTGCGTTTTAAATGAAAGACATTTACAATGTAAATGCTTTATTAAGGCTTCTCATGTCTAATACTCGTGTGCCATTTCATGTATATTGTGACAGTTTAATGACTGTATTAATAGTTCAAAGACCTTTGCCCTGGAGAAAATGAGTGTGTGTTAAAACATTAAGTACCAAATCGTTTAAATTTTGCTCAATGGGTACGTGTTTATGTCAGTTTGTAGAATTCACAGTGTATTTTACCTTACATGAAGCGGTGTTCAGACAAACCTGAAAGAATCATCTAGTTCAGTGTCTGGAAAACAGGACGAAAGGTGCTTGGGCTCATTTACATGTCGTCTCATCTAAGTCACATTTTCCTTCACCTGCTGGTTTCACACTGGCATAGAAAATACCAGCAGACAGGTAGTGCCGGCTGTTCATTCGGGGATCATATGTCCGTTAGCACACTTCAAAGCTGACAGTTAGAGATTGTAATTGGAACTACTGTCAATCTCATTGTGGCCACAGTACTGAGCAGCCATGGACAAGAGCGAGCTGGTGCAGAAGGCCAAACTGGCAGAGCAGGCGGAGCGCTATGACGATATGGCGGCCGCCATGAAGGCGGTCACAGAACAGGGGGGCGAGCTGTCCAACGAGGAGCGCAACCTACTCTCTGTGGCCTACAAGAACGTGGTGGGAGCTCGTCGCTCTTCCTGGAGGGTCGTCTCCAGCATCGAGCAGAAGACCGAGTCCAACGAGAAGAAGCAGCAGATGACCAAGGAGTACCGGGAAAAGATTGAAAAGGAGCTCAAGGATATTTGCGACGACGTCCTGGTGAGGCACCTTTCCTTCCATTTGCCGCAAAAATCTTTCTGAATGGGAATGTGCCGTATTCCCGTTTTTCTCCTCACTAACGGCGACATGATGTTTGCAGTAGGCTGCCCCCTACACAAGATGGAGTAGAAACTCCAGTGGATTTGATTGGTTTCCACACAGTCACTGGAGGGTGATTGCACATGCTACCTTGTCTCTCTTTCTTGTATAATGAACCTGCATATTTGCAATAGATGAAGCGTGTTCAGGCAAGCGATAAAAGGAACCTTCCATATGGTTCAGCCAGTGAGCAGTGAGCACAGGTATACCACAGTGCCTCAATGCCAAAGCAAGTCAACACGGGTATGGCTGGTTTGTAAATCAGAGGTGTGGTTTGCTCTTGTCTGGTAGAGGTGGGAAATCTTTGATGGATCTCAGGTGGCGGTTTAGACCACATATCCAAATTAACTGCTCTCAGATTCAGGTCAAAGTTGGCATTCAAGTACGTGAGGGTGTTCTGTGACTAGGGGCCTGTATCACGAAGCAAGATTTGTTGCTTACCTGGATAACTTGTCGGATTTAAAGTACTCCACTTTAAATGGACTTTATCTTCGTCCCCTTACATTTAGTCCAGAGTTCCTTAAATCGGACAAGTTCTTGCTAACCCAAAAATCCAGTTTCGTGATACAGGCCCTAGATCTGTACCCATCCTCATTGCCTTGGGGTAGCCAGTTTTAATATATACTAGCATTGCTGTATAATGATCAAGGAAGGAGAAATGATCAGATATATGAAGCAGACTCTTTACTCCTTAACTTGTGTCATTCACTCTAGCTCTGTCTGGAATGTACGGTTTGTGCTTTCTTTTTGCAGCCTTGTTTTTGATGGCTTTCTGAAACGTCTCTCTTAATTAGGAAGAATGTAACGGTTGCAAATGACACTTAATGGTATCCTGTGGTTCCTGTAGTGTTTGCATTTATTCTCTTGGTGTAAGAAATCGGATATCTGATGCTAAGTCGCCTTTCTGTAGCAATGCAGGGCAGGAGACACTTACGGAATAAGCCATTTGGCTTCTAGCACGTTTGTGGAGCGGGTCTGGCCCTCAGACTTCTGCACTATATAATGTGGTTGTATAAATATGACTATTCAGCAAACCACAGGATGAAGGTCAACTTACACAGAAACTTGTTGGCAGTGTTGGTTTGATCCATTTTATGGAGCCAGTTCTGCCAGTCTGTACATTTCTTCCAGGGTTAAGTGGGACACTGTATGTTCCTGGGCTCCGGCTGGTGCATCTGTGTTATCTGAGCCTCAGTCTTTGTCCCCACTAGAGGCAGGCATGCAGTCCAAGCACCTGGCAGTGTTAAGGATTGCGCTGCTTGTATAAACCTTCCGATCAGCTGCTGGAATGCATTCAACCCTTAATCCTTAATGGCTGCACTACTAGAGCATACAAGATGTGTTTCGCTGACACTCACTGAAACACCAAAAGATACTTGGCACTCAAACTGCATTAAACTGTTGAGGACTGGAGTTGTTGATGGCAGTGAAGGACGGCATGATCAGAAGCTTGCTTTTGTTTCTGGAGCAAACTTTAGCTGGTATTAAAAATCCAGCAAAAGTTCAACGTGCCAGCCCCTCCCCCCATTCCCCTGAACGGCTGTGGGGGCTGGTGGGGTGCCGGAGCACTTTTTTCTGAATTGCTCCAACGGTATAGTGTGAACTCTCTGCGACACTTATTCTGTACTTGCATACATCACAAGTATCAGTGCATAACACCAGGATCGGTATTCCTACTGTTGCCATATTGTGATGATACATTGTACAATGTGCTTAAAGAGCTTAATAATGATGGAAAGCTGTTTGATTATTCTTGTATTTATGTTTAAGGTTCTCCTGGACAAATATCTCATCCCCACAGCAAGCCCTGCTGAGAGCAAAGTCTTCTACTTGAAAATGAAGGGAGATTATTTCCGCTACTTAGCAGAGGTGGCCTTGGGAGAAGAGAAATCCAGTAAGTGATGAGGCGTCTGTTTGAATTGGGCCTGGTTGATGGGAGGGGGGACCTGTTTTCCACCCGGTGAGTGAAGATGAGTTTGTTTGTTGTTGGAGGGTAATGTTATAGTAAGTCACTTTGAGAGCTCGTTTGTTTTCCAGTTCCTGCTATGTATCACAGCTGTTGTAGTGTTTACTCTAAAAGTCCCCTCCCCTCCCCCCCCTCCTGGGGGCTCTGTATCTCCGCATCTGATGGTCTTTGTCCTCGCTGTTTTCAGCTCAAATTCAGTGCGCTTTTGACACATCTTAACAACCCTGAACATTGTGGGCTGTTAAAGGTTTTATTATTAAAATGTCCTTCATTTTTTTTTTCTTCAGTATTTCATTTTTTTTAAATGTTTTTTTTTTCTTTAGCATAAATGTAATCACAGGGTCTTTAAAATCTGTGCTGCAAAAATGTGATGAACTGGGGGAGTTGATTATGGAATCGTGGTGGGTCCCTGAGACATGGCTGGAGATGGGAGGGGACTGTCGCCGTGATGCTTCAACACATGGTGGGTGGAGTGGAGGCGGGAGCTGGTGAGCCTTCCAGTGGCTCATTTCTCCCAGCTTGGAGTGTATGGGACAAGTCCCCACAAGCCCGACGGCCAGAGCCAGGGAACATGCTGCGGCTGGTTGGACGTGGCGGAGAAGGGGGGAATCATGCGGCGTGCAGAGCCAAAATGGCGGCGTTTCACTTCACTGTGAACTTGTCAGCCCTTTGTGTCTGTGTCGCTCATCGCTATCATTCACTTTTATGTCACTGGGCATATTGTTGTCCATGTTTGAGCACCTAAGCCCACAGCAGTCATAGGCCCCCAGTTGTGTTTTGGTCCCTGGAGGAGTTCCACTCTGATGTCCATAGTTGAGGTACTTGCATTTCTCCAGCTGAAACACCCTGATGTGGTTGTGGTACAAACCATGACTCCCTGGACAGAAGCTCCAGGTACATAACCGTGATATGTGTGTGTGTGTGTGTGTGTGTTCCCACATTTGTAGGCTTCAGAATACATATTCCCACGTTTCCCTTCTGTTTCACTGTGTTTCCTTAGTCAGAACTGGATAAGAGTATGAAGCCGGTGACTCACAGAGAACCCATATGGCTACTCTGACATGCACTGCTCTGTCTGCGTGCACTGGCACACGTTTTCCTCAGAGCAATCTGGCCTGACATTAACAGTGAACGGAAGTGCCCGTAGTAGCTGGGTGTCACTGGGTGACGGGGGGGCTGCTTCTATTCCATGGGGGGGGGGCTGCCGTAATTTCTTTTCATACACAGTCCATGCTAGACATGCTACAACGGCTTATAGTCTGCTCTTGTTTGAATATGGATCCTATTAATAAATGAAACCAAATGTTTTTCTAACAGTTTCAATGGCTTGTTAGCACATTAACTGATATCATGAGCTGCTTCTATTATCCTGAAGAAGAGCTGGCAGTTCCCTGCAGTTGGGCCTGTTTTCTCACTCTTCCTCTACTCCCGTGATGAGTATCCAGCATGTCTATTTTGACGGCCTCTTCACTGCCCCCTGTATTAATCCTGACGCCGGTTTGTATTGCAGTACCTTCAGGTTTCGTCCACTCATAGGTGGGTCATTCTAGCCTTTGAAAAGGATCTATTTTTGTTCACCAGCTCTTTGTGGGGGACTGGGCAGATTCTGTGTTGTGTATAAAAAGAAGTGGCGTCTTCCCTAGAACAGGCTGCGATAGGTTTGCAGACAGGAAGTGAAATCAGCTGGGAATGTCTGGCATGCTACACGAGAGTCATAGGTTCTCTTCAAAGAGGGTTTTCAGGCTAACCAGCATGTGCAGCAGTGGTGTTTTGATATGTGCTGGTTCACAGCAAGTCAGTACTTTTGATTCAGGTTTAATTTTCACAGCAGTTCTTGATCTTGCATATACTGTGATTTTTCTATCCAAGAGAATGAAAAACACCACGGCCTGTATACCAGTGCTTTTCTATTGCATGCTCTCTGAGCAAATCTATTAGACCATTTTCCCCTACTCTTAGTGACCTGTGTTGCTGTCACTGTAAGCTTGGCTGCTGAGAGCTGTGGCAGCAGTCAATGGGAATGCCTCTATTTCAATGTGCCTTTTAAAGGTCATTTGGATACAACAGTATAGTACCTCATTTCCAGGAGGAGCTGCTCTGTGATGCAGATGTGTCACTTGTTTTGCTGCCTTGTTTCTCTTCTGCCAGCCATCATCGGCAGCTCCCAGGAGGCCTATCAGGCAGCGTTTGACATCAGCAAGAGCGAGATGCAGCCCACACACCCCATCCGTTTGGGCCTGGCCCTCAACTTCTCAGTCTTCTACTATGAGATCCTCAACTCTCCTGAGCGAGCCTGTCAGCTGGCCAAATCGGTACGGCAGGGGGGTGATGTGGAGGTGGGCGTTCTGAGGTCTCCCCAAATGCAGCTGTTTGACGCTCTTTCCATGCCTCTCTTTGCAGGCTTTCGACGAGGCAATAGCAGAGCTCGACACGCTGAATGAGGATTCGTATAAAGATAGCACTCTGATCATGCAGCTGCTGAGGGACAACTTGACAGTGAGTGTTGCTTCCAGGAGTAGACGAGCTATGACTGCACTATGGTCCTGAAGCAGGTCTGAAGGTATGTTCTGTGTTCCCTCAGCTGTGGACCTCAGACACCCATGGGGATGGCGACGATAACGAGGAACGTCGGGACAACTGATTGGCGACCAGCTCTCCAATCCGCTCTACCTGTCAATCATCCCAGCTCATCTTCAGCACTGAGACCACCTCCATGACCTGCTTCTTTCTTTCACACTCTCACCAGCCTCTGTCTCGACTTTCTGTGTGTGCAGGGTGGTTGGTGTGCTGGGCCTGTGCGTACTTGAGGGGTTATAAAG